TGTAGTTAGCGGGTGAAGATATCGCGTTAGAGTTCATACTTTAATTTTTTATTTTAATTCTGGTGCCTGTTAGCAGCTGAAACACATCCTCACGTGCTTGTGGATATCATGCATATGGAGACACGACTGTAATAATAAGTAAAGGTTATAAGCTGTAGGTTTAGTGTGCTCATAGGAAACGTGACAAAAGAACACAAACCACATTTCTCTTTATGGCCTATATAGTTATCATAACAAGATTTACAGAATACATGTGACCAACTAACATTTCATGTTCTACCACCGGATGTTTGGATCAGAATATGAACCAATCAGATCTTAGATCAGGTGAGAACCAGGCATTTCCTGTCATCCTCTAGGTTTTGCAGCCGGCGGAGCAACTGCAGCGCCTTGCTCCAAAATCTGCGGCCGCCTTGATGTCACGAGGATATCGTTGCCTATGTATGCACGACGTCAAGTCGGACACAAATCTCACCGGCATGCACTGCTCGCCGATCACCATCTGGAACACGGCCAAGGTCTTGGCTGTCGATGGGCAGAACCCAGCAGATGAAGTAAAAATGGGCTTTAGACTGTGAACTCAGTGTGGAGCGGCCGCATGAGGAGGGCGACTGTGTGACAGACCGGGACGCCCCAGTCCGTGGCGGAACTGCTGATGAGAAGAGTCAGAGATCAGACGACACATCGACAGGGAACTGTTTCTCATCTGGAGCCGACCAAACATCTTTGTGCACACTGTTTGGATTTTAAAGTGTAGATCTCTTTTCAGAACCAGGGGCGGAGTGCAAGAGGAATCTCACAGCAGAAGAGAATAATCGGTTACCGCAGTGATCTGGCTAGGTTACAGTAAGATAGTAAAATAACCCATTTAGGATCCAAAAGAACCAAAACGTCAGCAACAGCGGGCTGAATGTGAAGTCACAAAAGCAGAAACATTCCTGGAGAAGTTTTTATTAAACCTTGTCGAGGTTTTGATTCTGAACCAACCAGATGGGACGTTGATCTGCTGGCATCCTGCACCACAACAGATCTCTGGCTACGGGAGCCAATCATGAAGCTGGGTGAACCGTGTGACATCATAGAACCAAGTCACACACAAACCTGATTGGCTCAGAACAAAGCGCTCCAGACAAACGATGAATGCAAGAACCGTTCACTTTCATGGAATTGGAGAAACACACCTGAACTCAACACGTTCTTTAGTTACACGTTTCCATCTTTTTATTTTGCGTCGACGTTGCGATATTAACGTCACTCAGAGGCATCAACCTGCGTCAGCTGATGCTTTAGATTAAAACAGAACGACACAAGCAGCTTCACAAAAACAATCCGGTTCCGAGTCCCCGAACACTCCTCTGGCCCAGAGCCTCGCGTGTACCACCAGAACCTCGGACCTGCTGCTGGAGCAGGTACACAGAACTACCAGACCCACAGCAGAACCCAGAGTTGGTCACGTGACCTCCTGTGTTTGTGTGGATCCTGGTTTCTGAGAAGTGTTTTACGTGTAAAAACAATCAATGCTAGGTTTGTTTTAGACGGTTCTGGTTAACCACAGATTAGTCTCAGATTAAACCCAGATTAAGTTAAAATTTGAACAACGGAAGAATCTCATTTATCCACACGCTCCCAGTCTTCCCCTCTCCTCCGCCCTCCATCACAACTCCGGGAGTGACTCGTTATAATCCATGATGCTGAGCTCGTCTCTCCTCTGACGGACGGCAGGTGCCAGGTCTGCAGTGACGACTCGACTGAGGAGCTCCATCTGTGGACTCCCAGTGAGGGGGGTGGCCTCCTCTACCTCCTGACCCAAAGGAGGGCTCTCAGGCTGGGTTGCCTCCTCCTCTTCCACCACCTCCTCCTCCTCCTCCTCCTGCAGCTCCTCCTCTGGGCTCTGACCAGATGGTCCAAAAAGTCGCCGTGCCTGCTGCTCCAGGAAGGATCCAACGGCCAGAGGGGAGTCGATGGGGGAGACTGAGAGAGGGGAGCAGGAGAGGCCCTTCACTGTGCCATTTATGATGCCAACAGCAGAAGAGGAGGAGGGGCGGGACTTGTTGCTGCCGTGAGGAACAGGTGAAGAGATGCTGTCACTTACTGGTCTGAGAAGGAGAGAGACAGAGAGAAACTGACATCACATGACCTCACGAAGAAGGGCTGAACGATTTTAGACCAAAACTTGTAACTTGTTTTTGATTCACATTGTTCTTCATATCAAGCTTCAGCACGATAGTCTCCTACACCTATCTCCTGCGTTAGCCGCTAATAGAAAACAGACGGTGAAACTCTAGGATTAGAAAATCCATTAGCATTAGCAACTCCACCACACAGCAAAACTCCTCCAGGCTTGTGTTATTTGTGGAGATAAAACATCAACGTTGCAGAGCAAACAGAGTCAGTGGTAGAGTCGTGTTGCTGTTAGCCAATCAGAGGAGAGATGTCTGAATATCAGGAAATAAAGCTCCAATTCCTGTCTGTCTTCCGCTCGCCCCTCCTCTGACTCACTTCTAGTTCCAGAAACAGGAGTGCCAGAGCTTTTCCTCCAAAGAGATTGATTCACAAGTCATTCATTTATACTAGAGCCCACTGCACACACGAGTGAACTTCATCTTAAAGAGCAAGTCACCCCCAAATCAACTTTTTTTTCCTGATAAACTAAATGCGTGTCTAATCGTGCTGCAGACATGTGTAGTCAATAGTTTTGCACTTTAGTGCATTTTAGTTAAATTTTTAATTTTCTGCCTAAAACTGTCAGTGTCGTGCCGTTATCAGGTAAAAACTCTGCACTGCATTTGAATTTAAATCTGCCATCGCTATTGGCTAAGAGGTACCCTAGAACGTTAGCTGGTACCATATGATGTCACAATGTCGTTGTGAGCCTGTGTGTGTGTGTGTATTTGTTAGCGGCTCCGCCTTCTCTGTCTGCTAGGCAACAGCATTTGTTGTATTTTTCAAACAGGAAGTAATACTCTGGTAGGGGGTGACTTGCTCTTTAAAGAGCAACCAGAGTATTACTCCACTCCCACTTCCTGTTTGAAAAATGCAACAAATGCTGTTGCCTAGCAGACAGAGAAGGCGGAGCCGCTAACAAATACACACACACACAGGCTCACAACGACATTGTGACATCATATGGTACCAGCTAACGTTCTAGGGTACCTCTTAGCCAATAGCGATGGCAGATTTAAATTCAAATGCGGTGCAGAGTTTTTACCTGACAACGGCACAACACTGACAGTTTTAGACAGAAAATTTAACTAAAATGCACCAAAGTACAAAACTACTAACAGGTGTCTGCAGCACCATTAGACACACATTTATATAGTTCATGAGGAAAAAAGTTGATTTGGGGGTGACTTGCTCTTTAAACTACAAACATGAATGCAGAGTTTTCCCAGCATTGTGTCACCGAGGCAGTAGCTTGGATGCTTTTCTCACAAAAGCACAGCTGTAACACCAAACACCAACAACGTTTACACACATCAACTACAATTCACTGTAAATCTGCAAAAGTCTGTCATCAGAAAAAAACTGTTTATTTTAGAAGAGATCAAGTTCACAAAGTGTCATTGTGGTAAAGGAGAGCTCTTTCTGAATGTTTACCTGCTGCTGGTGTCCTGTAGTACACTGCTGGGGTCACTTCCTGTCTTTGTGTCCAGGTGAACCTGGCCGTACAGGTGAAGCATCTCGGTCTGCAGATTCTGGGCGACTGTCCTCAGAGCAACGCAGCGACTTTCAGAGGCTGACATCTCCGCCCTGAAACATGAAACCTGTCAGAAACGTCCTACGGGGCACCGCGTGAGGCCCGGCGGGCTCAACAGAAACTCCTTGCAGGACCTGTTCAGACTCGTCTCATGCGTATCAGTTGTTCTCCAGGAGACCCGTCAGGAGGAGGAGTCTCTGGGAGATTAATGGGCTCGACGCACGGGAGGCGACAAACGACTGCGATCAGTGAAACGTTTCGCCGTAGCTTTGATAACTGGACAGGAGGGCGGCATGTGGCAGCGGCACACTGCTCCAGGGCGAATAGCGGGTCGTTGTTGTTTTGATTGGCCGTCACATTGGAGGGCACGCTGGGTTATCAAAGCGGTTCGGAGTTGAAAAAGCGGTAGACATGAAGTCACACAAGGTTTTGCTAGAGTTAAGTGAAGACATATAAAAAAAGAAAAACACGTGGACAAGATCATCCCAGACGGTGAATATGAGACCACACCAACAACCAACGCTTCAACTATTTCTCATGCTGCCGCCTTTTTGTGAAGATCTTTTTAATCTGTGGCAGAAATGTTGTAAAGCTCTGGGAAATCCGACAGGTATTGACTTTTCCTTCGTGTTTAACTGGAGAAGTACTGAGAAGCATCCGGTCTGCTCATTGGTCAGTCAATAACCCCCCCCCCCCGCTGATTGGTTCTTGCCTGAGTGACAGCGATGAAAAGCTGACATTTTTCAACTTTCTGGGATCGCGCCGCTGGCTCGACCACAAAATTCCACATGCTCATTTTCCGCGTGTCGCTTAGCGGCAGGGAGGCCCGCGATTATCGCCTTGTCGCGCGTGTCCCATTGAAAATGAATGGAGGAGGCAATGACGCCTCCCGCGTGTCGAGCCCATCATGCTGGTCCAGGAGTCCCACCTGCTCCGGATTTTGGTGTCCTCCAGAAGTTTCTTCTGATCTAGGATCAGCTTCTCCTTCTTGGCCAGCTGATTCTCCAGCTCTGCTATCCTGTGATTGGCTGCTTCGAGTCTCTGCTTCTGCTGGATGTCTCTGTCCTGCAGCTTCTGGAATTCTTTACCCACAGTGCCCTGCAGCATGGTCTCCTCCTGAGCAGCACATCGCACGGTTACCAGCGTGTTCACCAACCAGTGGGGGCATTCCTGCTAATGAGCTTACGGTCCAGACGTGCGCGTCTCCGGCCTCCAGCTGTTCCTGCAGAGCTCTGTTGGTGTCCCTCAGCAGGATGAGCTGCTGGTTCAGGAGGAACATCTGCTGCTGGAGCTGCTCACTGCTGCACAGCTGCACAGAGCCACACAAGATCAGGGTGCTACAAACAAACAAACTCACAAACAAACTCACAAACAAACAAACAAACTCACAAACAAACAAACTCACAAACAAACAAACAAACAAACAAACTCACAAACAAACAAACAAACTCACAAACAAACAAACAAACTCACAAACAAACAAACAAACTCACAAACAAACTCACAAACAAACTCACAAACAAACAAACAAACTCACAAACAAACAAACTCACAAACTCACAAACAAACAAACTCACAAACAAACTCACAAACAAACACACAAACAAACAAACTCACAAACAAAAAAACAAACAAACTCACAAACTCACAAACAAACTCACAAACAAACAAACAAACTCACAAACAAACAAACTCACAAACAAACTCACAAACAAACTAACTCACAAACTCACAAACAAACAAACTCACAAACAAACTCACAAACAAACTCACAAACTCACAAACAAACAAACTCACAAACAAACAAATTCACAAACAAACAAACTCACAAACAAACTCACAAACAAACAAACAAACAAACTCACAAACAAACAAACTCACAAACAAACTCACAAACAAACAAACTCACAAACAAACAAACAAACTCACAAACAAACTCACAAACAAACAAACTCACAAACTCACAAACAAACAAACTCACAAACAAACACACAAACAAACAAACTCACAAACTCACAAACAAACAAACTCACAAACAAACAAACTCACAAACAAACAAACAAACTCACAAACAAACAAACTCACAAACAAACTCACAAACTCACAAACAAACAAACTCACAAACAAACACACAAACAACCAAACTCACAAACTCAAAAACAAACAAACTCACAAACAAACTCACAAACAAACAAACAAACTCACAAACAAACAAACTCACAAACAAATTCACAAACTCACAAACAAACTCACAAACAAACAAACTCACAAACAAACTCACAAACTCACAAAAAAAACTCACAAACTCACAAACAAACAAACTCACAAACAAACAAACTCACAAACAAACTCACAAACTCACAAAAAAAACTCACAAACTCACAAACAAACTCACAAACAAACAAACTCACAAACAAACTCACAAACAAACAAACTCACAAACAAACAAACTCACTCACCCCCCCCCCCCCCCCCCCCCACCAATAAAACAGCAGAATTAAATCTATTGGACGTGTTCTCACCTTGACTGACAGCTGGGTCAGCTGGTGTTCAGCATTGTAGGCCTTGTGATTGGTTTTCTGAAGCTCCGCCTCCAGATCCCTGAGCCGGCTCTGACATTCGTGAAGCTCGCTCTGAAAGAAGCAGTCAGAGCTCAGCGGGAACCTGCAGCAGCTCAGAAGGACTTGCAGCCGGGCTCAGACCTTCCTACCTGCAGCTTCTGGACCAGCTGCTGCTTGTGCTCTTGTTGCAGCAGCAGCTGCTGGATCTGTGAGTGGAGCTGATCCGTTTGCATCTTCATGTCCTGCTTCAGGTCGACGTATCGCCTCTGTTCTTGGTCCAGACTGGTCTTCAGACTCTGGATCTCCTCGTCTTGAACACCCAGCTGAGCCTTCTACCAGCACACAAGAGGACATATCGCACGCAATCAAACAACGAAAGTGAGGTCCAGCGTGGAGAACACGGGAGGAACCAGGACATCAGGAGTTCTGATGCACCGCGTTACCATGGCAACGCTGTACTCCTCTAGCACCGTGGCGCTGATGACTCTCCGCAGCAGGCGGCGGTTTCTGATGGCATGCTGCTGACGCTTGAAGCGCTCATACTGGAGCTGACTGTGGACCAGCAGCAGCTGACTCCTCAGGGTCTGAAGCTCCTCCCCCTGGGAGGGGCCTAACACATAATAAACGAGAGGATTCAGGTTTAAGAACAGGCATGATGCTGTCGGGTCAACACAGAACAGAACCAGTGTTGTTGGACCTTTAGGCTGATCGGTACCAGGAGCCCGGTCCTGCTCCTTCAGAAAAGCACCAGAGTCAGTTCCCATTCAGGAACCAGGACTTTAGCCGGTCCGGGTTTCTGATGGGTCTGATTCTGTTACCCATCCTCAACCAGCCGATACCGACCCGATCCTCAGGTGAAGGCTGTATTAAAGCACATGACTTGGTTCTGACCCAAGAGCCTGAGGGGTTAAACATTCTCCATGCTGGTGCTGTTACTCTACACCCCCCCACCAGCCTGTTAGTCTGGTTAAGCTGGTTAGTAACCAGTAAGAATCGCACAAAACGGCCACCTGGTCTGGGCTCCTGGACCTGAGGAACCCACTAATGATGAAGGGTTAAGGCCCTAGCTGGGTGTTGAACCTGCAACCTTCATGCTGCCCACCAACTGGGCCACCATGCAGAACTGGGTTCTACCTCAGACCCTGGACCTCTCTAAGGACCTGACAGGATGTGTGAACCGGGTCAATGTGGGTCTACAGACCAGAACCAAGGTGCGTGTTAGTTTCAGGTACCTTTGCTTCTCATGCCGATCTGTTTACCTCCAAACGAACTCCGGTCCAGCGACTTGTTTGCTGCTGAAAATCTGTGAAGTAATCAGATTACCACCATTACACAGATTACTTCCCCGATCCCATCAAGACTCCTGGATTTGCCGAGTCCAAACATCTGGACTCTGGAGGACTGGACCCTGACAGGCGGACCGGACCAGCCGACCCACGGGTGGTTTTACTTTGAATGTTTCGGTAGTTTGAAAAAGAAATGAGGACAGAAAAGATCCATCAGAACCGGGTCTGGGCCGCCTCCGCTCACACACGGGTGGTGATGAGCTACATCACAGCCACAGATGCTGAGGGGCGCACCGACAGAGGCGAGGCTGCCACACGCAGGTGCCACCGTCCCTCCGACCACCAGCAGGCAGGGAGGGTGAAGTGTCTTGCCCAAGGACACGACGGCTGCCACAAACTGAGCCTGAATACAAACCGACAACCCACCGGTTACAGGGAGGACACTTAACTGCTCTGCCACTTCTGCACACATTTTTTAAGAGTGACAGAACGATGCGCGCTAGGATGATGTCGACGCCAAAACAACCGAAACAAAGCGGAGAATCACCTCCTACATCAGGAAGAATCCGCGCGTTTCGAGCGTTATCCGTTCTTTCATAATCCGTTGTCGAATTGTGATCGGCAGACGCTTTTCCGGTTCGCGCCTCACTGTTTTTACAGGAACAGCCCAAAACGATCTCCAAACTCATGGATGTGTTGCTTCCTGATCACGTGATCTGTGACGTATGCGGATGAAGATCGGCTTTAGAGCTGAGATGTTTTTCTCACGGTGTGGGGGCTCGTCCGACGCCCACACAGTAAAAATATGCAAATTACGACTTTGTTGTCATCGGCAGTGAACGAGATAAAGGAGTGAGGGAGAAGGGGCTGGTATGACCTTTGACTAGGGATGTCTCGATTCGACTTTTTTCCACTTCCGATTCGATACCGATATCGCAGCCTTCAGTACTGACCGATACCGACATCAATCCGATATGATATCCGCACAAATCGTACGTACTTTTACCCATCTCATAGTGTGGAGCAGGCTTGATGACGTGATTTTACTCAAACAGAAAACAAAAGCCAGCAACAGTTAGCATAAAAAACCTGACCAATCTTTTATTAACCGTTGGTTACATGAATGTGGACAGCTGAGGTTCGGGACATAAGGAACAATAACGTTCGCTGAACAACCGCTACAAGTTGAGTGTCTAAAGTTTACATTTCACACACTGAGAAAATGCTCATTGTGATCCTGCTTCAAACGCACGATGAGGTTGGACGCATCAGGGGCTCGACACACGGGAGGCGACAAACGACCGCGATCAGCGAAATTCCTCGCTGTCGCTTTTATTACCTGACACACAGGAGTAGGGCAGCTCAATTAATCGAATTTTAATCCCAATTACGATCTGAGTTTTGAACGATTATAAAAACAAAACAAGCCGATTATTTGCTCCTCCCACTTGCGCTGCCCCGAGTAACAAATGAAGCGCTCCTCCTAGGGTGCTGCCAACTTAGCGACTTTGACGCCATTTCTAGCAGCTTTTCAGACCCCCTTCTTGACTTTTTAAATCTTAAAAGTACCTAGCGAACACCTCAGAAACATCTCTGGTAACCCTTAGCTACTTTCTGGATAACTGTCGTAGACATTTCCTGCAGGTTAGCTAAACACTCAACCTGCGCTCCGGACCGTTCTTCAGGACATTAGGAAAGGGAATGATGTAGTGATGTGTCGGTCGCTAAAGAAACGGCTCTCAGAGCCGGCTCCCTGTTGGATTAACCAGAGTGAGTGACACACACACCGTACCTGCGGACTCCTGAGCCGCTAAAAACGGCTAAATGTGCGCGTGCGGCGTGCTAAACACACGTGCAGCTTGCCCCGATTGCGGAGACCGGGTTGGGGGGTGGGGGGTGCAGCTGTGGTTGGGACAATTATTACATTAACTGATGGACTTGTAAATAAATAGTTTATAAATAAGGTAGAAATAAGTTCCTCACGCTGATAACTAACAACTAATCTCTCTGAGGACACGGTGCTCCTACAGCACCTTGACACGACTAAATAAATGTTACGCAACATTTTGTGAACATCAATTTATTTGCATTTATTTGTTATAAATGCCACTGTATAATTCTTGCTGTCAGTATTTGCAAGATGTTGGTATTTGGGTCTGTACTGGTTAGACTTAAATGAGTTAAACCAAGGTCTATAGCCCTTGGGTCATAAACTATGAGCTATAAGTATATTGATCTTTTTATACTGGGAATCAGGAGTTCTTTTAGTGATCATCTTGTTTCTTATTTATTTTTGTCCTGATTGTGTCCTGAGCAATTTTATGACTGAATAAAAACAAATAAAGTCAACATTAATTGAAAAATCGTCCTAAATAATCGAGATCTCAATTTCAGTCACCATAATCGTGATTATTGTTTTTGCCATAATCGAGCAGCCCTACACGGGAGGCGACCCACGGCAGCGGCAAAGCCGTCGACGCGTTCTGTTCCACGGCGAAATTTAAACTTCCGTTGTTTTGATTGGCTGTGTCAGGTTGGAGGGAATTACGGTTATTTAAGCGGTTCAGAGTAAAAAAAGTGGTAGATATGATGTTTCACAAGGTGCTGCTAGCTATGTGAAATCTTACTTCTGATTTTACTATAAAACATAATAATAATCAACTTCTCCTCCATGTTTGCTCGGAGGTGTACGGAGCATCCTGTACGCTCATTGGTCAGTGAATGAAACCCGCGTTGATTGGTCCTCGTCCGAGCGACAGCGATGAAAAGTTGAAAATGTTTCAACTTTCTGGGATCGCGTCGCTGGGTCGCCTGTGCACGACACGTGCACGAGCGCAAAATTTCACACGCACGTTTTTCGCGTTTCGCTTGGTAGGAGGGAGACCCGCGATTATCGCTTTGTCGCGCATGTCTCATTGAAAATGAATGGAGGAGAGACGATGTCGCCTCCCGTGTATCGAGCCCATTAACCTTCCCCGGTTCTGTTCCACCACGGGAAACTTGTGCATGACGAGTGTTGCACCGAGCCAAACGGTATTTCTCAGACTAACGAAAAATACAGCCACATGGCCGACGTTGTTCCGTGCTACTTTGCCATCACACGCCGTTCTGATCACATGGACTTCACATGCTGGATCTGCGCTGATGGATAGAATTGCTGGAATGAAATTTAAAGCGGAACGTTCTGCTAATATCGGAGGTTTTTGATGCATTCCGATATAATCCAGTACAGCGTTTCTGGGCCGATATCCGATATCAACATCGGAACGGGACATCCCTACCTTTGACCCACAAACATGATTAGAACACGAATCATCTCACCTCCTGCTGAGGCGTTCGTGAGCCTCGTTTCCATGGAGAATCATCTGATCCAAAGCCTTGAGAGGAGAGATGGAGCTCTGCTGCTCCTCTTCCTCCCCCTCCTCCCCTGCAGTTCTCTGCAGCACCTCCTACAGAACAGGACAGAGTCACCTACCAGAGCACAACTTTAAACCGGGATGGCCCATCTGAGGATTCTTACCTGTGTCTTCTTACTGGTAAACAGCATGGTGGCTCGGGGCAAAGCCAGCTCAAACAGGGATTCATATAAAGGGGTGGGGCCAATGTCAGAGAGGGCGGTGCCTTCTCTAGATCTATGGGAGGACAGGTGAGAAGGCGTAAAGCAGAAAGAGGCAGAGCAGGCAGGAGGGAGGCTGGAAGATGACTCATCATGAGCTGGAGTGGAAGTGAGGAGGAGGTGCTTAGCGGAGGAGGAGGCGGTGGGTGGTGGTGGACCGATATCTGCTGCCCCGCCCCCAAAAAAAAAGAAAAACATTTTTTTTAAAGCCAACATCTGCAGTGAGCTTGCTCAGGCTGGTCAGCTGACCCACTCACCCGCACTGTCCTGGCTGTTGTTTATGACATCATTAACCTCCTGCACCCTGATTGGCTGCTGCGTCACCTGTGAGCACACGTAACTGACTTCCTGCTTCCTCTTCCAATAAAAGATTGTAGGAAAAAAATGACCCTAACTCACCTGAAGGCCAGCACTGTGTTGTTGGTTGTCCTCAGTGGGCGGGGCCAAAGGATATTTAACACCTGCAGACACACAAGCAATAAACTATTGTGTTATTATGGGATGTAATACCCTGCCTTTAAAAGGACACTGAGCAGTTTTGCTCACTTTTGGCGCCCCCTGGTGTCCGTTATTAATTATCTGTGGTCAAAGTCAAAGGAAACTTATCTCCTCGCTGTTTGTTCGTCTTTTTAACATCTTGATCTAACAGCTGAGATGTCTCCCAGCCTTCATCAGTGTCTACAGGAGCGGTTCATCACTAAATCAAACAAATCAGCAGTGTTCACGATCTAAAACATGCAGGAAACACACTGGTTCACAGTCCAAAGGTGGCAGCCCAAGACTCTGAAGTTGCAAGTGTGATATTCTGGTGGGGTCTGAGTAAAGAGTCATTTTAGTACACAAAATGTTTTGAAAATATGAAAAAGTTGCATCCCTTCAATCAAGATCATAATAATTCTATAAGTTATTGACTCTGAACACACACACAGAGAGAGAGAGAGAGAGAGAGGAGAGAGAGAGAGAGAGAGAGAACTGCAGAAGTCAGCTCACCTGAGAAGGAGGAGCACCTGCTCAGTGAGGGGGTGGAGCCTATAACGGTTGGTTCAGGGGGGGGCGTTGACAAACCACAGCGAGAGGAGGGACTCCAGGTGACATCATCAGCCTGTAAAACACACCCTTTCACTTTGACAAAGCCCACGTAGAGTTACCTGTTCTCTTTTATTCTGATCATAACCTGGGCCAGAGTTTTCCAAATGGGAGGAGTTACCAGAGTGTGGGAGGAGTTACCAGAGTGTGGGAGGGGTTACTGTTATTTTTACTGTGGGTGGACTTAGCCAAGTGTGAGAATTTACCAGAGAGTGGCAGGAGTTACCCAAATGTGGGAGGAGTTACCCAAGTGTGGGAGGAGTTACCCAAATGTGGGAGGCGTTACCAAAGTGTGGGAGGAGTTAACTGGGTGAGGGAGGAGTTAACTTGATGTGGGAGGAGTTAACTGGATGTGGGAGGAGTTACCAGAATATGGGAGGGGTTACCCGTGTGAGGAGTTACCCGAGTGTGGGAAGAGTTACCAGAATGTGGGAGGAGTTACTAGAGTAAGGGAGCAGTTAACTAGGTGTGGGAGGAGTTAACTGGATGTGGGAGGAGTTACCAGAGTGTGGGAGGAGTTACCAGAGTGTGGGAGTTCTCAAGCGTCAGCACAGGTCGATTTCCACTCTGCAAAGCACCAACCAAATGTTCTGGAAAAAAAAAAATGCCTGATTGTTTTTTTTATTCAGGTTTTAACATGTATGTTTTGGGTCTGTGGAGGAAGAAAACCCACACATGCATTTGAAGAACATGCTTACTCCATGCAGTAAGGTTACACCTGGGATTTGAACCTGCAACCTTCTGGCTGTGAAGCAACATTGCCAACAGCTGCACAACCATGCAGCCCAGTATCAAAGTCATAACTATCCTGTTGAAAACAAAACAAATTTCATCTTAAAGCTTTTACATCTGTTTAAGGCTGATGCTCACCTGAACTGCTGAAAGGCTCAAAGTCACAAGGAGTGGAGCCAAGATCCAGGTGAGGAGCGGGGGAGGACATGGGGGGAGGTCTTGGTAAAACACGGGAGGGGTAGTAAAAGTCCTCCTCACAAGATGACTCCAGAGGGTCCAGAGACACTTTGGAGCACTCAATCATGATGTCATGAACTTCAAAAGACCTCCACCTGAAAGGGAGGGTCATTAGAAAGGATGCCGAGTTTATTTCTGATCTCAAGCTGGTAACCATGATGACTGGTGAAGGTGTCCCTCAAGGTTCTACACTTGTTACACAGTTTTCTCCATTACCGGTCAACTTTACTCATATTTCTAATACATTTGTAGCGCTCTCTAATAAGAATGAATGTCTGGTAAATTTTATTCTGGGAGAAAACTATCTCTGGTGAGCCTGTTTCAGAACTAGAAGTGAGTCGGACCACAGTTGAGTTTATGAGTCTTATTTCCTGATATTTGGAGATCTGGTCTCTGATTGGCTGACAACAACATGACTACCACTGACTCTGTTTGCTCTGCAACACTGATGTTTTATCTCCACAAATAACACAAGCCTGGAGGAGTTCTGCTGTGTGGTGGAGTAGCTAATGCTAACGCTTAGCTTCTACTAGCCGAGACGTTCTCTTCGGTTTCCCGGACACTAAATCAACTGTTGTGAGTCAAGATGGGTGAGTCCATGAATGTTAGGTGACAGTGTGACGTAGATCTGTCAGGATTTTCTAATCCTAGACTTTCCCCGTCTATTTTCTATCAGATACTAATGTAGGAGATGGGTGTAGGAGACTACTTTCATGTTCAGCCTGCATTAAAAAAACTCAGTGACTGATCATTAAAAAAGATTTTGTTACACAAAAAATGGCAAATGTCTTGTACTTGATACAGCGCAGGGATTGAAGCAAAAAATTCTCATCTGACTGAAAATTATTTGGGGGGGGGGTCATACAGTTTACACGCAGCCACTGTTCGGGTTTTATTGGTTTAAGGTCAGTATTCTTGTTTCTGAACAGTTTGGAATAACCCGTTCACACACACCGTGTTTAAAAGTGTGGGTGTTGAGATTTCTCTGAGGTAAAAACGATGATAAGGATTAAAGTACTCTAGGGGTATCGGGGACATGGCCCCCTGTATTGGACATTTTACATTTAAACGCATCAGTCTGGTGCATTTTTGGGGGGAAAAGTAGAGTTACAGGCTGGTAGGTATGTATGATAAAGTATTTATACATGTTCATTATAATGATATATTTGAGTAAACAATGTTTTCCTGTCCTTTCTTAATCCGTTAAGAACGCGGACTACAGTGAAATCTGCTGATGCATCCATGCTGCTCAGTACCACAACTGCCCAGAACCAATCAGCTGGCAGAGCTCCCTGGTGAACGTGTGAGCTGCAGAACTTGCAAAACTACGTGACTCCGTTTAAGGAACAAAGCAGAATCCAGCTGCTGTTGTTTATTTGTTGTTGTTGTTTAAAGAAACTAAATACATCTGCAGGGCTTTAGGTCCAGGACAGAGTTTTAGACCTCAGAGCAGCTTTAGATCATGACCTGTTATTAATAATATCATGTTCTTTACACCAACCTGAATATTCTGTAATGTTCACAGACATCCAAACCTTAGAAATGAAATATAATCAATATTAAAATTAAAATTATTAATATAATTTTTCATTAAGATGAGTTATCTGTTATACTTATTTACATTTGATAGTCATATGATTAATAATATTTAATCTTATCTTCTATCATTTGTGGGTTTAGTGCATTCACTTAATATTAATTATAAAATGATAAACAACAGGTCACTAGTCTGGGCGTAGAAAGTGTTTCTAGGAACTAACGCTTGTTCAGCAGCTCACCTGTTGCACTGACAGGAGAAATCCTCTCATCAGCAGGTGATCAGCAGTGTCATGACTGAACTAAAAACACCGACCTGAGATCGGCCCACCGGGAATTTGGGTCCTGGTTCCGCTCATCACGTTAACTCGGTTTGTAATATCAGAGCTTTATTGGCTCTGTTAGAATCCCAGCTCCTGGTGCGCGTGCAGTTTGTGTTTGTGTGCACCGTGGGAGCGAGCAATGAGTGCACGCGTTTTTGCAGCTTGGGCGGTGCAGAACGGTGGAGAAACGCGTTTCAACAACACCGGTGCGCGTTTCAATTAGCAACGAGAGAGAGAGAGAGAGAGAGAGAGAGAGCAAGAGAGAGCGAGAGAGTGAGAGAGGGAGAGAGCAAGAGAGAGAGAGAGCGAGAGAGAGAGAAAGAGAGAGAGAGTGAGAGAGGGGGGGAGAGAGAGAGAGAGAGAGAGCAAGAGAGAGAGTGAGAGAGGGAGAGAGAGCGAGAGCGAGAGAGAGGGAGAGAGAGAGAGAGAGCGCTTCTGCATTTTTTCTGGAAACTGGAAATTATTAAACATGGACCTGGTCTGATGGTCTCTCAACGCGATTGGCAAACTTGTTTTTTCCAACGATGAGAACGGGACAAGGGGCTCCCGGATGCCCCTCTGGGACAGACCCAGCTGGGCATATCATGGACTCCTGGAAACAGTGGAACCTGATCTGCCTCTCTCAGCTGTCTGTAGAGGATTCTGAAGACGTGTGGATATTTGTGGTGTTGGTGTCAGGTTTACTGCCTTTTGGCCTGGGTGGTTACCTGGCTTACCGGAAAATTAATGAGCTGTTGAGGAATATTGGCTCAATCCCGGAGCTCAGGGATGGATTACACCGCGCTGTGAACGCACAAACTCATATAATTGTCGAGATGAGTCGTAAGCTTGGAACTTTGGCTGAGATTCAGACTCTGGCACAGAAGGTGGATTCGATCAAGGATAGAGTTTGATTAACTCTGGGATTTGGGATTGATTAACTACGCCATTATTGGATTGAGAGGTTGAGGATCCACGGAACTTTAAGACAGAGAGGAAATTATCTCTGTCTGGCCCCAAAACAAGTTCTTATCTGAATCTGGTGCCCTTGAGCCTGTGAGGCTGACGTGATTACTCCCCCTCAGAAGAAATGTGGAATGCTGCCGTCGCTATGGCAACTCTGTCTCCCTATCCCAGCCTGGGCGGGACAGCGACCGGTCAAGGCCGTTGAATCGTTTCCAGGAGTCACTGTGCTCTCTAACCCCAACTACCTCCCCCCCGTCCAGATGGAGGTGACGGGCGCTGCTTATCGCGGCTGCATGCACTGACGTGTGGAGAGTCCCCAACCCCACCTCCCCACCTAGTGGACACTTATGTTGTGTAATGTCTGAAGTCTTTTGCATTTCTGTCTGAGGTGTTTTTTTGCAGAGCAAAGCTGCCCTCCCTGTGGAGGGTAACTCTGAAGTGCCTTTTTTCCCTCCACCTGAACCAATCCTCATTTAAACCCTCTGATCTCTTTTAAGGTAGCGCGACTCGGGTTGCGAATGACTACAGTCACCAATTCTTGTCATGTGTCTTGCCCATGTATGTCTGATCTCAGAATTGTGTGTGCTGAAACTCTAATTTCCCTCTGGGATTAATAAAGTATCTTTGAATTGAATTCCAACTAACGGATTTCAGTCGCCACGACGGAGAACTTTAATCCCTGACATAGCGCCTTCTAGTCCTAGAACTCCCCAAGGCGCTTTACAACCCAATCAGTCATTCACCCATTCACACACACATTCACACCCTGGTGGTGATGAGCTACCACCCACTCTGTAGGTTCTAAAACAACCAACGCTGATATAAACTCAACTAACATAAAAACCCTCAATTTAAAAATCATAAAGAACTTGGGGTGTAAGAAAAACCCGATTCTCCAGCAATATTACATCGATATTCAAAAGCTGTGTTTCTAATTTCGGGAAGAATTTACATGCAAACATTTGTGTATTTTCTTATCTTTTGGTGCAATTCAAACACCGACCACTAGTTGGCAGCAGTGTGCAATGACTTGTTTCCACCATTGAAATGTAAATCCCTCTGTTATGGTTCAGATACCTCTCATTGAACATGTTAAGCATCATTTTGGACTGTTTATTGACTTTTCCTACAATAAATTCAGTCCAAAAAATTGCTAATATCATCTGCCTGAATGTATTGCAATATATCGTGATATACTGTATCGTCTCCCTGTATCACGATACGTATTGTATCGCAAGAACTTCACCAATACACATCCCTATAAAGACCTGAGACCATCTGACATAAACTGCTGATCTGGTCCTCGTCTCTCAATCTTCATTCCCACCTGACAAGCCTTCCTGTTATTTGCTAAAGTGGTTCTGGATCAAACCTTCTCCAGACTTTGGCTGATTTGTGAAGTCCTGAAACACCTAACACAGTTGTGTGTTTTGTCCTTAAACGGATTAAAGACACAGAACCAGTGAAGAAGTATTTGATTTAGATCTAGAAACTTTCTCCAGCAGGGGGAATTTTGATGAAGCTGAGTTTAAAGCAGCTAACAGACCTCTTCATGTTAACCATTTTGGGTGATACCAGTTCAAACCATGCTCTGGGCTGGTGCACATACCTGGATGGGTCCAGTTCATAGTCCTGAGTCCCTGTAACCAGCTCTGGGTGAACCCGTACATGTTCCAACATCGGCTGAAAGGCCACAAAAGCAAAACAGAGCCATCATGACTCAAACTCTAAGCCAACGAGACACCTGTGAAGGACTGAATTGGTTCACCAGTACAGTTAAAACCGGTCTGTGCTGGTCCAGGGTATCTGCAGGTTTAAGGGAGCCACATTTAAGACTTTTTAAGACCTTTTTAAGGCCACTTTGACCAAATTTAAGCTATTTTTTAAATTAAATTTAAGCTATAATTTCCAGCTATTGCCTGGAACCGGTGCTAACCACGTCGTGAACGTGGGATTAGCCATCCAGTTACCATTAAACTTGCACTTCCCCATGGCGCAAGCTCCCACTAGCTTAACCAGCTAATGTGCTCATCTAAAAACAGCCCCCTTTCACAACCAACTGAATGTGTACGGTTCCGCTTACGCCAACATCGTACACAAAAAACGATGAACACCAACTAGAAATTCACAAAAATTTTTTATAGAAATAAAATAATCTTGTTTATTGGGTCTTTGGTAATTTAAGACCTTTGGAAACTGTATTTAAGGATTATTTGTCATTTTTAAGGATTTTCAAGGCCTTAAATTTGGAAAAGCAAATTTAAGACTTTTTAAGGACCCGCGGATACCCTGTGGTCTGTGCTCACCTTGACCACCTCCTGGAAGGTGTCCAGGTTCTCCTTCATGCTGTAGTGCAGTCTCAGGTAGGACATAAAGTTGCAGGGGAACATCCCGTACAGCCGATGGAACAGGGAGTATACACCTGCATGGAGGTGGACCAGGTACACCAAAGGTACATGACCTGTAGGCCAAAAAAATAGACAATCAGGGCAACTGGATGACCAGGTCTAGGGGGTCTGCAGCAGCAAAATACTTCAGAAAGTACCATGACTCCCCACTGAGTGAATACTGTCAGATTCCTGCCATGTTTGCCTTTAATGACGCGGTACTGCTATAGCGAATCCACAGAACAAGCTAGGTTTTGAACATGGTCATGAGACACTCTCCCCTCCTCATGAAACCGGAAACACACATTGCCAAAGGAAACCAGACAGCGCTAAACACCGGTCACCGTTTCTAGGTCCACACGTCTTTGGTTGTCCGTGACTTCAGATGGTGCTTTTCTCTTTGGGCCTCTGGTAGTTTGTCCTAAAGCTGAAGAGGTAGCAGCCGGCTGTTTCTCCTTCTCTGATGTTATTGAGCGGAGAACCTCTCACACCAGTGGTGTTCTGGTGCTGAATACGTGAGTGTGTGATGTGTGGAGGACCCAGGGAAGTGTGGCGGGTCAGTCAGACCAACAACTGGATGGTTCAGTGGTTGCGTTCGGCCTAAGCCGTGTTAGGTCTGGAGATTTTTAAAATGGTAAATGGCCTGTATTTGATATAGCGCCTTCTAGAGTCCTGGAACCCCCCAAGGCGCTTTACAACACAATCAGTCATTCATCCATTCACACCCTGATGATGGTGATGAGCTACGATGTAGCCACAGCTGCCCTGGGGCGCACTGACAGAGGCGAGGCTGCCGAGCACTGGCGCCACCGGTCCCTCCGACCACCACCAGCAGGCAAGGTGGGTTAAGTGTCTTGCCCAAGGACACAACGACAGCGACAGACTGAGCGGGGACTCGAACCTGCAACCTTCCGATTACGGGGCGGGCGCTTAGGTCCCATGCCACCGTCGCCCCAGACAAAAGAGAACCGCTTTAGAGTTTTTTTTCATTTTCTTTTCATCTCCACAACATAATCACAGCTATATTATGTTAGAACGTTGTTACGAGGCATGGAAATAAATGTTTTTATTTACAAATTTGCCTTTGCAGCTTCGTCAAACCATGACCTCTCCATTTAACAATGTAAAGCCGAGCTCGGCCCCCCTGCTGAGTGAGCGTTACCGGGGTTTTTGTTGCTCCAGGATGCGAGGCGCCCAAACACATCGAAGAAGTCATAGATGTGTTGTTTTCCAGCCTGAGGGATCATGGGCAGTAATGTGATGAGGACCAAAACTCCAGTGATGAGGACGACAACGTCGCTGTCTGTCTGAAAAAACAAACAATAACAACGGTAAATAGCCTGTTTTGATATAGCACTTCTAGAGTCCTGGACCCCCCAAGGCGCTTTACAACACAATCAGTCATTCACACACACTCACACCCTGGCGGTGATGAGCTACATCGTAGCCACAGCTGCCCTGGGGGAACAGCGAGGCTGCCGTGCACAGGCGCCACGAGTCCCTCCGACCACCACCAGCAGGCAAGGCGGGTTACGCTTCTTGCCCAAGGACACAGCAATAGCAACAGACTGAGCGGGGCTTGAACCGGCAACCTTCCAAATACGGGGCGAGCACTTAACTCCTGCGCCACCGTCGCCCCAGAGAAAACAATACACGTGCTCCATGAAAACAACAAAACTGACACTTGGTGCCGGGTCAGAAACATCAGCAGAATGTTCCAGATGCTGCATTCAAGCTCACAGGGAACATCGTAAAACGTTCATTAAACCAGCTGTTCATCTTAAATGACTCTGGCTGTGTCCAAATCCAGGAGCCGCAGCCATTCGAGTGCACATTTCAAGTCTGATGACCTCACAGCGGGGTGACAAGGCACCCAAAGCACTTTCTGTTATTCACACGCAGCTGCTGAAAGCCTGAGGAGGTCTGACAGAGGAGAGGCTGCCATTTTGGGCCATCGGCCCCTCTGACCACCGCCAACACAGGCACGTGAGGTGAAGTGTCTTTCCCAAGGACACAACAGCAGAATTCCCTAGGGGGGCTGGGATTGATCTGGTAACCGTCCGATTACTAGACAACTCACTCTACTTCCTGAGCTCCCGACATTCCTCCTTAGTAAAGGTGATTTAATGCCAGGCACATTTCCAGGCAGCCCGGTGCTTCTGCAGAACAGGTACCAGCTGGTCAAATTCAGTGTCCAAAAACGGATTCAGCTTCAGAAACGTTGTTAGCCCAGTGAACGAGACCAAATTCTTGCTTTGCAAAGTTTGGTCTAGGAACGCTCCATTGGAACCTCTGCAGCCCCCAGCAGCCTTTTGGCTGGCCAATCACAGCTCTCTATAGGACTTTCAAACACATAGAGAGCTGTGATTGGTCCACAATGGTGGACAGCATTTTACCCGCTTTGTGGGCCAATCAGGGCCCTCTATTCGTCTGGTGGGTGGGATGATGTAACAGAGCGGAACAAGACGGTGACAGCTAGATTAAAATGGCTTTTTGGGCTATTTGGACTTGGGCTTTATTAGATTCAGGAGTAGAAAGATGTATTTCAGTTCTTTTTTTTAGAAAAAAGGACAAATTTTTGTCTTCTTCAATAGCGGACCGCCACGCTTACAGACACCCGTTGCAGTGAGTATGTCACGTTGGTCATTGTCCAGTAGCATGCGGAGATCATTTGAAAGACAACGGTAGAACCCGCCCCACGACCGAGAGCCGTCAATGGAGCGTTGCCAGACTAAATAATATATTCATTTAGTCTGGCTTGCAAGGCCAAAATGTTGTACATCAATGAAAATGAGGTGGAAAATGTCTAGATATCAGCACCACAAATCAGCCATCGACCCATCAGCAAGACCAATATCGGTCTACCTCTACTGTGCATAGACTCCTACAACTCCCCAAGACGTTTTACAACAAACCAGCCATTCAACCCCCCCCCCACACCCACACAGACACTGGTGATAAGCAGCACCGTATCCACAGCTGCACAAGGCCACGCTGACGACAGCGAGGCTGCCGTACACTGGCACCACCAGTCCCTCTGGCCACCAACACTGATCTGGAACAACAGATTTGTTCTGAGTCATGGAAAATCTCTCTTTTAGAAAAAAGGTCACCTACTGGACAATCAGGGCAACTGGCTATCATACAGGAGAACGTGCAGCTAATTAATTAAATAATTTGGTTCTGTACCTTTCTCTTCAGCACAGCCGACAAAGGTTTATGATGGGTCAGTCCTCCTGCATGCTCAGATCATTCCCTTCCCTTGCTTGAAAAATTGTTCCAGAATAAAAGTTGAACCCACATCTTTTTTATCCGTGAATTCAACGCCTTTTTTAAATAATTTGTGATTCCTATCTTCTTCCTCTTGGTGTGAGACTGGTGGGGTGGCGCCGCAGCGCCCCCTATGGACTACAACACAGGACACCCTCACCATGGGCAACATCCCTTTTGGGCACAACCTGAAGGACTTACAAGCAGATTAAATTATAAATAACTTCTTAGTGATCTTGAAATATTTCATTCACGACTCAAACTAGAAAAAGGGAAAACCTATTCCCACTGTATTCAAACACATCTTGTAGAAAATGATCTAAAAGCCTTCAAATGTGTAAAATGTGCACATTGTTTTGTTGTAATGACCGTTTTTCCTCCTGCGTGGTGAAGGGACTCCGTACCTTAAGGCATCGCAGCAGCGAGGACAGCAGCACTGACTGGCTGATGTGATGCACCCAGGGGGGCTGCTTCCTGATCAGGTGACCCAGTAAGGTGACAGCAGCTAGTCTGGTTCTGGATCGGCTCAGGGAGTCGTTCAGCTTCTCCAACAGGACCTGACGAGAAGAGCCGACGTGTTTACAGTAAAAAACAAAGCACACCTGAGAGCAGATGCCGCCATTCAAAAGCAAAGTTCCGCTTTAACACACAGCGATGACAGGACACCGGCCAGACTCAAGAGGAAAACTAGCTGCTCCAGTTGAAGCCTGGTTCCCTTTAGCCCCTCCCACAAGCAGGTGTACGTGAGCTCCGCTTCTGACCAAATCGCTAAAGCACACCCCCGTCATCCACTTCCTGTCCCCTCCTGGTGATTCTTCATCACTACCTTCTCTTCATGCTGCCGTTTCTACCAACTCTCTTTCTCAGGATCCTGTGATTACCCTTTCCTTATTTTTTCTTCCTTCACATACTTTTATCTAAATTTGACATTAATTTTTATTGCGATAAATTATTTTTTGTCATTGGCCAAGAAAGTGCGTTTGTCTGACAGGAGGCAAAAGTTACACAGCCCTGCCTGCTGCTCACCTTGTGATGAGGCTCCCTGATGGAGGAGAGGAGGAGCACCGCCTGAGACGAGAAGGAGTCCAGGTAGTACTCCACCAGAGACAAGAGGACAGCGCCTCCTCTGTCTACGAGAGGAACTACAGGTCAAACCGTGGAAAAGGCAGGAGACCAACAGCGGCAGGTGAACTTACCTGTAGCGAGCTGCTTGTTGACCGCTGCTCTCACACGCTCTGCCTCCTGCAGCTCGGAACTGTCCAATGAGAGCAGGAGTTCTGAGATGCTCACCTGTTCTTTAGACATGCTGCACACCTGCCCGAAGTCTGATTCAAAAACAAAAAGATGTGGGAGTCCTGCGCCTGAGTTTACCTGAGCTGGTTCTCCCGGCTGCACACGTCCCAGCAGAGGAGCAGCGTGGAGCCGTCTAACTTCCTGTCAACAACTATCAGGCTCCGACTAATACCTGAAACCCTGACCCACGGTAAAGCTCTTTATCTCTTAAACGGGTAAATAATTACAGGACAAGACTGCTCACGTGAACAGTCAGTGACGTCACTGCCGTTCAGCATTAGGTAGGTGACGTCACAGAGAATTTAAAAACAGCTGGGGGCTAACAGCTAAGCTAACAGTAGTTTACAGAGCGACACGCAAACATGTCCTGCCGCCCCGCAGCTGCCACGTGCCCTCCGTACGGTTCGGTACCACCACGTTTTCGGTACCGGACACAGCAAGCTGCTGAAAGCTGAGTTGAGAAACTTCGGTACCTTCAGACCTGTTGATCCCTGCGCAGAACGGACTGCTGTCGATAGGCCCCGCCTACCGCTGTTACCTGACACCCCAAGCTGCCAATGAAAGTCAGGAGCCCTTCAGGACCGCAGGGGAAGGTGGGAAAAATAATTCTCAACACAAAAATACCTTTGTTACGGCAGATTCCAGAACTCCTGATCCAGTCCAGAACTCTTCATCCAGTCCAGATTTCCTGATCCAGTCCAGAACTCTTGATCCAGGCCAGAACTCCTGATCCAGTCCAGAACTCTTCATCCAGTCCAGATTTCTTGATCCAGTCCAGATTTCTTGATCCAGTCCAGAACTCCTGATCCAGTCGTGATTGCCTGATCCAGTCCAGAATTCTTGATCCAGTCCAGAACTCTTCATCCAGTCCAGATTTCCTGATCCAGTCCAGAACTTCTGAACCAGTCCAGAACTCTTCACCCAGTCCAGATTTCCTGATCCAATCCAGAACTGCTGAACCAGTCCAGAACTCTTGAGCCCGTCCAGAACTCCTGATCCAGTCCAGAACTCTTCATCCAGTCCAGAACTCCTGATCCAGTCCAGATTTACTGATCCAGTCCAGAACTCCTGATCCAGTCCAGAACTCTTGATCCAGTCTAGATTTCCTGATCCAGTCCAGAACTCCTGATCCAGTCCAGAACTCCTGATCCAGTCCAGAACTCTTGATCTAGTCCAGAACTATTGATCCAGTCCAGAAATCTTCATCCAGTCCAGAACTCCTGATCCAGTCCAGAACTCTTCATCCAGTCCAGAACTCCTGATCCAGTCCAGATTTACTGATCCAGTCCAGATCTCCTGATCCAGTCCAGATCTCCTGATCCAGTCCAGAACTCTTGATCTAGTCCAGAACTATTGATCCAGTCCAGAATTCTTGATCCAGTCCAGAACTCTTGATCCAGTCCAGAACTCTTCATCCAGCCCAGAACTCCTGATCCAGTCCAGAACTCCTGATCCAGTCCAGAACTCCTGATCCAGTCCAGAACTATTGATCCAGTCCAGAACTCTTCATCGAGTCCAGAACTCTTGATCCAGTCCAGAACTCTTCATCCTGCCCAGAACTCTTGATCCAGTCCAGAACTCCTGATCCAGTCCAGAACTCTTGATCCAGTCCAGAACTCCTCATCCAGTCCAGAACTATTGATCCAGTCCAGAACTCCTGATCCAGTCCAGAACTCTTCATCCAGTCCAGAACTCCTGATCCAGTCCAGAACTCTTCATCCAGTCCAGAACTCCTGATCCAGTCCAGATTTACTGATCTAGTCCAGAACTATTGGTCCAGTCCAGAACTCCTGATCCAGTCCAGAACTCCTGATCCAGTCCAGAACTCTTCATCGAGTCCAGAACTCTTCATCCAGCCCAGAACTCTTGATCCAGTCCAGAACTCCTGATCCAGTCCAGAACTCTTGATCCAGTCCAGAACTCCTGGTCCAGTCCAGAACTATTGATCCAGTCCAGAACTCTTGATCCAGTCCAGATTTCCTGATCCAGTCCAGAACTCCTGATCCAGTCTGTCTGTCTGTGTAATATTGCACAGCTGTAGTGGTGGGGACTCCAAGACGCTTTAGAAAACAACAACAGAAAAGCATGAAGTCTGACTGAACCATCACTTGGTTCTGGAGGCAACAGCATTTGAATTGGCATGCTGGTTTGGGTTGTCTTCCTGATTGGTGGTGGGGGAATCAGCAGATCTTTAACATCATGAACTGATCCGAGTTCCTCTCACAGTTGTCAGAACAGCAGCAGGTGTGTTGGAGATAAGAGGTCATCAGAAGTTATAAAGCTGAAAGTTCAGCAGAGCCACGACACACAGAAGGTTCTGCAGCACACACAGAAGGTTCTGCAGCACACACAGAAGGTTCTGCAGCACACACAGAAGGTTCTGCAGCACACAGAAGGTTCTGCAGCACACACAGAAGGTTCTGCAGCACACACGGAGGATGCTGCTGGTTCTGTTATGCTTTTGGCTGAACTCAGCTTATGCTGCGAAGGTCAGATCACACACACACACACACACACACACACACACACACACACACACACACACACACACACACACACACACACACACACACACACACACACACACACACACACACACACACTTTTGATTTTATGTAAAGAATCAATGGAACAAAACCTGCATCGGAGTCTGTTGAGTTAGTTTTACTTGATTTAAATAATTAAAAGCAGTTACAGCGAGAGGCGGTGTTGTCCAGGGATAAACAACATGGCTGCCTGTAAATACGTGTGGGTTTGTTGTAAAACCAGACTCTAACTCCCCTGCATTTCAGGAGCAGAGCCCTAATTAAAGGTTGCACGCTTTCCCCGTGCTTACATGGAAGAAGAAAACATAAGAAAAGTTTGTTTTTATACCACCTCTCAAGATAAAAATCACTTACAAGCACAAAAATCAACACGATGGAGACAGAAACACACAGAAATGATAGAAACACCAGCATGAAAAGAGACTAATGGGAATTCACTGAGGAGATCACCAACGTATGATGGTGCTTGTTCATGTAAGGTCCTAAAAGGGAGTTTTCCTCTCCACAGTCACCACATGCTTGCTTAGAATGAGGATTGCTGTAAAGACTCTGACACTAGTCAGTGACTCGATGCAACCTGCTGGGTTCCTTATGGAGGAAACTTGTTACTGATTGGCTGAATGACCTGACCTGTATTGGAATGTTTACTGTGTGAAGGTCCTTGAGACGACTCTGGTCATGATTTGGTGCTTTAAAAAAAACTTGAATTGACTGGAATTAAAAACCAGAACCAGGATCTTGAAAAGGACTCGTTAACTAGCAGCTGGCTGTCCATCCTCTTCTTCCTCACCAGCTTCTGTCATTTCTGTATTTTTCAGGCTCCCTTGTTTTCATTTTAATCTTATATTTAAATGATTTGGAAAAGGGTAGAATGCCTTCTCCTGGTCAGGGATGAGTTCCTGCCCCAAGTGGAGGAGTTTAAGTATCTCGGGGTCTTGTTCACGAGTGAGGGAAAACTGGAGCGTGAGACCGATAGGCGGATTGGTGCTACATCTGCAGTGATGCGGGCGTTGTACCGGTCTGTCGTGGTGAAGAGAGAGCTGAGTCAGAAGGTGAAGCTCTCGATTTACCGGTCGATCTACGTTCCTACCCTCACCTATGGTCACGAGCTTTGGGTAGTGACCGAAAGAAGGAGATCACGGATACAAGCGGCCGAAATGAGTTTTCTCTGCAGAGTGGCTGGGCTCTCCCTTAGAGATAGGGTGAGAAGCTCAGTCATCTGGGAGGGGCTCGGAGTAGACCCGCTGCTCCTCCACATCGAGAGGAGCCAGTTGAGGTGGCTCTGGCATCTGGTCAGGATGCCTCCCTGGTGAGGTTTTCCGGGCACGTCCAACAGGGAGGAGACCTAAAGGGCAGCAGTAGCTCAAGAGGTTGAGAGGGTTGTCCCGTAATCGGAGGGTTGCAGGTTTGATCCTGGCTCCCACCCGAGAATTCTGCTGATGTGTCCTTGGGCAAGACACTTAACCCATCTTGCCTGCTGCTGGTGGTGGTCGGAGGGAGCGGTGGCGCCAGTGTTCAGCAGCCTCACCTCTGTCAGTGCGACCCAGGGCAGCTGTGGCTACATCGTAGCTCATCACCCGTGTGTGATTGGATGAATGACACACTGTAGTGTAAAGCGCTTTGGAGTCCTCTGACTCTAAAAGGCGCTACACAAGTGCGGGTCATTTATCGTTGAACCCCACTGAGGACTAAGACAAGATGAATGAATGAACTTTACGTGTGTGTGTGTGTGTGTGTGTGTGTGTGTGTGTGTGTGTGTGTGTGTAGTTGGGTGTGGTCCAGACAGAGGGTGGTCTGGTTGAGGGGAGGAGCTTCAGTACAGGTCTTTTCAGGACGGTGGAAGTCTTTAAAGGTGTCCCCTTCGCCGACGTTCCTGGAATGTGGGAAAAACCAAAACCTCATCGTGGATGGGACGGTAAGCGTCTACGCCTCTGCTCTTAGCTCATTTCTTTTTCTTTATTGAACACGTAAATCAATAGACAAATTAAAGTATTCAAAAAGAAACCCATACATATGTATATGCAGATATACGTATGTATGTATGTATATATGTGGAACATGTTCAATGGGAAGGGAAAGAAGCTCTGGCAGCTTATATAATCCCCCCCAAATCAAATTTCAAGAAAGATAAAACAAAACAAAAAATATTTTCTCTACACTGAGTGTCAGCCATTTTCTTATAATATGTTTTATCCTCAATCACACAAACAAAATTTACATTTTTTTAATGTGTCCCCCCCCCCCCCCCCTATTACATTCACTTGAGTTATTTCAACATCACGCCAATCAACGCTGCATCAGCACAACTAATGAATTCAGCTTCCACTCCCATACAAAACTGTTGTGTTTACAATGTCATCATCATTCCTAGAGACTTCACACACATCATGTTAAATCCAACAATCACACACCAGCTTCCTGACTCTTATACTGTAACAAAACCAGTTCTTTATGTTTGATTTTAGCTGATTTTATCTTGAGCTGTAGCCCAAGTCGATTCCGAGGTTTGACTCCACACACTAGGGGTTGTATGAACTAGTCGACTAGTCGACTTCACGGCTCTGTAGTGACTTTTTATGCCTGTCATCGACTAGTCGCTGTCACGTGATAATGACTGACAAGATGCAGTCCTCCAGCAGGTGATGAGCCCCTGCGTCGGGAGGCGGAGGCGACGCGCTGTGCCAGAGCGTCGGTACTGACACCGGCGGTAAAACGGACATTTAACCAAACTGTGACCTTTTCCCTCTTGCAATTTAACCTTCCCCTCACCCCCATCCGAATCTTAACCAGTTTGCGCATGCAAAGCTCTGATCACTGACGCGCTCCATCTGCGTCCTGAGCACCGCCAAATCAGGTGTCACCACCTCAAAAACAAATTAAACACGCGATCGTTCATGTCGGCTCATTTCCTTTCATGTTCTCTGTCTGTTATTTGTGCCTGATGCGTTTCGCTGCTGCGGAGCGAGGCTCTTCACCTGTTTTGTTCTCTGGTGACGCACCCCCAAATTCCACTATCTCCTCTCCGCTCCGGCACGAACTCCGCAGCAAAAACGGTCCCGTTGTAGTCGGCCGGCGAGCAGCGGCACTCCGCTGTTTTTGCGGTCGGTAGATCTTTTAGAACTGCAGTTCAAAGGTAACTCATAAGGTGAATATATATGAACCCAGGTAGCAGTTTCTCTTTAGGATTGAGAGGAGATGCAGGAAGATAATAAACAGGCAGGACAGAAAAATAGTCAAATAAAAACAAGTTAGTTTTTGTACCTGCTGGTTGCAACAAACAGACACCACTGAAGGTAATCAGAAGTGAGGAACAGAAAATGAAATAATTATTTTAATGTTTAGAGCAGCAGGAACTCCGAGAGGCTGCAGGCGCATCAGTGAGTTTGCAGCCGCTGCGCGGGGGGAGGGGGGAGAGGGCTGAAGCAGGGGGAGGGGGGAGAGGGCTGAAGCAGGGGGAGGGGGGAGGGGGCTGAAGCAGGGGGAGGGGGGAGAGGGCTGAAGCAGAAACTACCGTTGTTAAAAGAAATGTGTTTAACTTTGAAAATGTGGGCGCAATTTTAATTGTCAAAAACTCCAGCGAACCCACCGACACCCCCCACCCCCACCCCCACCCCCCGCCGCTTCAGGTGTATGACGTCATCAACGACTAGTCTAAGTCGACTCGATTTTCATTACTTGACTGTCGACTTTAAAAAAAAATTAAGTCATGCAACCCCTACCACACACAGACTTTTCCTTGTAGTTGTTACGGCCTGAGTTTTAAAGTTACCCCCCCTTCCCTCTGAAAAGAGCTTCTGAGTATTTACAGGAAGTTTACCTTTACTTGCTTTGTATGACAGTTGTGCAGTGTAAAAGTCATCCAAGTCAAAGAATTTTAAGAGTTTTGAAAGCAGAAATAAGTTGATTGTGTGATCATAAAATCCTGCTTTATGAATAATTCTTACTGCATGTTTCTGGAGTACGAAGAGGGGATTTAATGAACTTTTACAGTTATTGCCCCAAACCTCTAGCCTGGCAAGCCAGACTAAATAAATGTATTATTTAGTCTGGCCATGCTCCATTGACGGCTCTCGGTTGTGGGGCGGGTTCTACCGTTGTCTTTCAAATGATCTCCACATTCCACTGGACAAAGAATGTGACATACTCTTGTTTCACTCTGTTGCATCATCCCACCCACCAGGCATATAGAGTGCCCTGATTGGCCCACAAAGCGGATAAAGCTCTGTGATTTGTTCACTAAGCAGATAGAGCACTATGATTGGTCCACCATTATGGACCAATCACAGCTCTTTTTGTGTTTGAAACACCTCTATAGAGCTGTGACTGGCTAGCCAGAGTCCTGGTAGGAGCTGCTGAGGTTCCAATGGAGCGTGCCTAGACCAAACTTTGCAAAGCAAGAATTTGGTCTAGTTCACTAGGCTAGTAAACCTCTACACAGTGCGTTAAGTAAGGCAACACCAGTGAGCAATACAACGTATACAAGGCTCTGTATTGTAAAAGGTATTTGGCTCTGTTGACGATTGAAACACTGTTTGAAATCTTAATCTGTATGTGTCGGACGTGTGGTTTCCAGCTTTTCAGAATTTAATTTCCGACACTGCATCTATTGCTATACCCTCTATATTTATTCCTCAAATGGAATTCCCTTTATAATTTCCAAAGTACCGTATTTTCCGGAGCGTAAGCCGCTACTTTTTCCCCACGCTTTGAACCATGCAGCTTTACTGAAGATTTTCCTTCACCTGCCAGGGGGCGCTTTAGCAGAAAGTGGAAGTCAAAAGTGGAAATCGAAGACGGTGCTCATTTTAATTTAGCACATGCAAGCAGCCGGTGTCGGTACAGGATCTGCTCTGGTGCACGACCTGCTCGGGGTCCTTCGACTGCCGATGACGTCGGAGTAGTTGATTGGCTGAACGTGAAGCTTACGGAAGTGACGTCATCACGTTATAATTTTGATGGGTCAGAACAAATTTGCGGTCGTAGTCTTAGCGGTTGTAGTCCTGTAGTCCAAAAATCAACACTTTTTGGAGAAAATATGTTTGAATTTCTAAAGGAAATGTAAAATATAAGCAAATGATAAACGGTGACCCTCAAACGCTCTTGATGTTGATGAAATGGGGCAAAATAAAATATAAGAACTTCATTGAAATACACCGAGCAACATTTTGAGTCAAAGAGTGTATTTAGATAACAACTAAGGAAATATACAGACGAGCTCCACATTAATACAAACAGACGTGGCTTCACATATAAGAACTGTTCTACGGTTTGTCAGTCGATGTTGGTTTTATGCAGTTTCATATTCTTTACAAAACACAGATAATATGGTGTTTTATTAACAAATTACAATCATAAAGAAAACATTTAGGTGTTAACAAACAAGAATTTATTAACAAAACCGCTGATGTCTTTCCAAAACGTGTGTGTGAAAGCCGAGAAGATTCGCAGTAATGTGACGTCATCGGCAGTCGAAGGACCCCGAGCCGATCCTGCACCGACACCGGCACGACGAAACATTTTTTTCACATCCATACCCCCTCATCATGGCAACTACACGTATGAGTTCATATGATGCCGCATTTAAGTTGAAGGCCATCGATCTGGCAGTAAAGGAGGGAAGCAGTGCTGCCGCACGTAAGCTTGGCATGAATGAATCCATGGTTCGGCGCTGGAGACGGCAGCGGGAAGAACTCGTTCAAGCCAGCTTCACCCGGGGATGACGACAGCAACACGGACAGCGACGCCGACATCGCCACAGAAAAGGTATGTGACGAAGCTCTTCTGAGGCTGCTCAACTCCTACACTGAAGAAGAGGACTTTAATGGCTTTAGTGCGCAAGAGGAAGATAAGCGCGAATGACCTCTTCTGGTTGGCAAGTGTGTTTTATTTACTAACCAGGCATGTTTTGTGTGCAGTTGTTATTTTCTAACCATCCGGGACTTATTCATGCTGTGTCAGCGATGTTCTTGTCTTCTAAACATGCAAATGACCGGTAATAACGTGTCAGTGCTGTTTTTATGTTATAACCATCCAGAAGTATGAATGCTATCAGTGCTGTTCTCTTTTCTAGACTTGCAGGCGCGTTCACCCGTGTTTAAAATTTGTTTTGTGTCAGGGTGCGCTGGTGAGTGGAGCGGAGGTGAGGATCCAAATGCAGGGGAGAAAGCAGGCAGGCAGACAAAGTGGACAACTGAAAGGGTTTTAATGATTCACGCACGCAGGACATGGAAACAATGAAGCAACAAGAGACAAAGGACTGGAGGGGTTTAAATACAGGAGGGCTGGGAGCTTGGGTGATTGGGGAACAAGAGGCAGGTGGGAGCAATCAACAGGAATACAGGCTGAACCAAATGGAGAGACAGGACAGGGTGTGACAGTACCCCCCCCCTCAAAGGGCGGCTTCCAGAAGCCCACAGGAACACAGAACAGGGCCGGAGGAGGGGGACCCGGATGGAGGGCCGAGAGGGACAGAGGGCCCGATGATCAGGAGGCAGGGACCAGCAGAGTCCGGGGGCCTGCACCCAGGGCAGAGGAGGCAACGACGACGACGGGCTCTTGGGGGCCTGCGCCTGGGGCAGAGGAGGAGGCGACGACGGGCTCTTGGGGGCCTGCGCCTGGGGTAGAGGAGGAGGCGACGACGGGCTCTTGGGGGCCTGCGCCTGGGGTAGAGGAGGAGGCGACGACGGGCACTTAGGGGCCGGCGTCTGGGGCAGAGGAGGAGGCGATGACGGGCTCTTGGGGGCCTGCGCCTGGGGCAGAGGAGGAGGCGACGACGGGCTCCTGGGGGCCGGCGTCTGGGGCAGAGGAGGAGGCGACGACGGGCTCCTGGGGGCCGGCGTCTATGGCAGAGGAGCTCTGTAGACTGGGCCGGGGACAGGGTCTCTGCAGGCTGGGCCGGGGACATAGTCTCTGCAGGCTGGGCCGGGGACAAAGCCCCTTGGACGGGCTGGACCGGAGACTCGTAGAAGAGCTGGACGGGATACGGTATGACCTCCAGAACCACCGTTGGCACTGGATACGGTGGAGACGTCGGACTAGAGGGAGCTCCGACCTCTGGACAGGAGAGAGCGCCGACCTCTGGACAGGAGAGAGCGTCGACCTCTGGACAGGAGAGAGCGTCGACCTCTGGACAGGAGAGAGCGTCGACCTCTGGACTGGAGAGAGCGTCGACCTCTGGACTGGAGAGAGCGTCGACCTCTGGACTGGAGAGAGCGTCGACCTCTGGACTGGAGAGAGCGTCGACCTCTGGACTGGAGAGAGCATCCTCAGACGAGCCGACTTCTGACGAGCCGGCGACTTCAGAGGCGATGTCATCGGACGAGCCGGCGACTTCAGAGGCGATGTCATCGGACGAGCCGGCGACTTCAGAGGCGATGTCATCGGACGAGCCGACCTCGGAGGCGACGTCGTCAGGCGAGCAGACTTCGGAGGCGACGCCGTCAGGCGAGCAGACTTCGGAGGCGACGTCGTCAGGCGAGCAGACTTCGGAGGCGACGCCGTCAGGCGAGCAGACTTCGGAGGCGACGTCGTCAGGCGAGCAGACTTGGGAGGCGACGTCGTCAGGCGAGCAGACTTGGGAGGCGGCGACGTCGTCAGACGAGCCGACGTCATCAGAGGAGGCGGCGACGTCGTCAGACGAGCCGACGTCATCAGAGGAGGCGGCGACGTCGTCAAGGGCGTCGACTTCTGGACAGGAACGGGCGTCGACTTCTGAACAGGAACGGGCGTCGACTTCTGGACAGGAACGGGCGTCGACTTCTGGACAGGAACGGGCGTCGACTTCTGGACAGGAACGGGCGTCGACTTCTGGACAGGAACGGGCGTCGACTTTTGAACAGGAACGGGCGTCGACTTCTGGACAGGAACGGGCGTCGACTTCTGGACAGGAACGGGCGTCGACCTCAGGACAGGAACGGGCGTCGACCTCAGGACAGGAACAGGCGTCGACTTCAGGACAGGAACGGGCGTCGACCTCAGGACAGGAACGGGCGTCGACCTCAGGACAGGAACGGGCGTCGACTTCCATCGACTTCAGAGGCGATGTCATCGGACGAGCCGGCGACTTCAGAGGAGATGTCATCGGACGAGCCGACCTCGGAGGCGACGTCGTCAGGCGAGCAGACTTCGGAGGCGATGTCATCGGACGAGCCGACCTCGGAGGCGACGTCGTCAGGCGAGCAGACTTCGGAGGCGACGCCGTCAGGCGAGCAGACTTCGGAGGCGACGTCGTCAGGCGAACAGACTTGGGAGGCGACGTCGTTAGGCGAGCAGACTTGGGAGGCGGCGACGTCGTCAGACGAGCAGACTTGGGAGGCGGCGACGTCGTCAGACGAGCAGACTTGGGAGGCGGCGACGTCGTCAGACGAGCCGACGTCATCAGAGGAGGCGGCGACGTCGTCAGACGAGCCAACGTCATCAGAGGAGGCGGCGACGTCGTCAAGGGCGTCGACTTCTGGACAGGAACGGGCGTCGACTTCTGAACAGGAACGGGCGTCGACTTCTGGACAGGAACGGGCGTCGACTTTTGAACAGGAACGGGCGTCGACTTCTGGACAGGAACGGGCGTCGACTTCTGGACAGGAACGGGCGTCGACTTCTGGACAGGAACGGGCGTCGACTTCTGGACAGGAACGGGCGTCGACTTCTGGACAGGAACGGGCGTCGACCTCAGGACAGGAACGGGCGTCGACTTCAGGACAGGAACGGGCGTCGACCTCAGGACAGGAACGGGCGTCGACTTCCATCGACTTCAGGTCCGGGGGCGTCGGCTTCGGGTCCGGGGGCGTCGACTTCTGGTCCGTCGACTCCCGAACCGTCCACCCCTGGACCGTTGACCCCTGGACCGTCGACCTCTGGTCCGGAACCAGAACCATCTGCTTCGGGGTCAGAACCGTCTGCTTCTGGGCCGGAGCCGGAACCGTCTGCTTCGGGGCTCGAACCTTCTGCTTCTGGGCCGGAACCGGAACCGTCTGCTTCGGGGCCCGAACCTTCTGCTTCTGGGCTGGGCCCGCCTGCTTCCGGACCGGTATCATCAGCTTCTGGGCTGGAGGCAGAGCTGCTGCAGGAGGAGCTGCCTGGCCAGGCTGGACCAGATGCGGAGCGTCCACCGGGACCACTGCTGGAGCTGGCTGCGACAGAGCAGGTGGTGCTGAGAACTGTGAAAGCAGGGAGGACAGACCGTCCAGCTGACGCTCCTTAAGGCTGAGGGTCCAATGGAGCTGGGCCAGCTTAGCCCGGAGATCGGCGAGCTCCGCTGGGTGAACACCGGGCTCGCTCGTTTGGTCCTGAGATGAGGAGGATAGAGCGTCCAGGCGGGATTCCTGGAAGCTGATGAGCTGGCGGAACCGGCCAAGCTCTGCCTGGAGACTGACGAGCTCAGTCAGCTGGGCTGCGGCCAACGCTCCTCCCTCAGCAAATGACGGAGGCGCCGATTGGGTCGGAGCCGGAACTGCTGGTCTGGCCGGGGGCTTGTCCAAACTGCTGCGCAGAGCAGGGGCAGCGGCGGGCACACAGCTCCATCCCGGTACACAGGACTGCGGGGCAGCCCGGCGTCTCTCCCCACGCCGTGGACCAACGCCGGGGGAGCACACAGCCAGACGGGTGCCCACGTAACTGGAGTGATCCGAACGCGTCTCTCGATCCGGTCTCTCATCAGGCGCTGGGAGGGTGGAGAGGAAGGCCGAGGGTGCACGCTGGCACCGTCGTCCGCGGCGAGGCGGAGCTGGAGCTGGAGCTGGAGAAGCCGGGTGGTGGCTTGGAGCGAGCCACTGGAGCAGGTACTCCCTCGGGAGAATCTCCCCGCTGGGTCCTTCAACAGGTTGCTTCATTCTGTCAGGGTGCGCTGGTGAGTGGAGCGGAGGTGAGGATCCAAATGCAGGGGAGAAAGCAGGCAGGCAGACAAAGTGGACAACTGAAAGGGTTTTAATGATTCACGCACGCAGGACATGGAAACAATGAAGCAACAAGAGACAAAGGACTGGAGGGGTTTAAATACAGGAGGGCTGGGAGCTTGGGTGATTGGGGAACAAGAGGCAGGTGGGAGCAATCAACAGGAATACAGGCTGAACCAAATGGAGAGACAGGACAGGGTGTGACATTTTGTTGAATTAAAACAACAACGAAAAACCTCCGTGTAGCGTCTTTCTGTCTAATTATCTTATGTTATGGCCGTACATGCGCGGTGTGCCGGAGTCCTGCATGTGGCTGCTGCGCCGCGGCTTGTATTCGAGTGCGGCGTGTGTGTGTGTGTGTAGAAAACCTTTTTTTTTGTTGGTGCGGCTTATATTGAGGTGCGCTCTATAGTCCGGAAATTACGGTACACTACTTTTGTTTTATCTGAATTCAGGGATAATTTATTGACATCCATCCATGATTGTAGTTTTACTATTCCTTATTTATGTTGTATATTAAGTCATTATAATCATCACTAGAATAAAATATGTTTGTGTATCTTAAATAAAAATGGGAAAAGACGTTTATCCACAAAAGCGATTGTAACCGTGTCATTTCCAGGAATCCTAAAGGCCACCAAGTACCGAGATCGGTGCCTGCAGGTGACGCTGCTGCAGACGAAGACCCGGGGCAGTGCGGACTGTCTTTACCTGAACATCTTTGTTCCACATGGACTCTCAGGTTGGTACTGATGTCCTTCTAGCTGTTTAAATCAGAATCACAGAGACAGGCATTCCTAGAGGGACAAGTCAGCCATGTTGAGTAAAAGTTATAGATTATCTTTGTGTGACCCTTAATCCCATCTTCAGAGGAGTAGTTCAGGACCAATAGCCGGCTCACAGGCTGTTCATGGAGCTCAGAGTTACCATGGACATGTAAATATCTCTGTATTCAGCTGTCCAGGAAGGTGACCTCCAGGTCTCGCCAGTTAGAGTTTGATTACAGCAGCATCTAGCAGCCGCTGAAGAACCCTGCACGTCCTTTCATCGTACTTCAAACCTCAGGTGTTGCTTTGTGTCTCCAGTGTCCTCCAACCTGCCGGTGATGGTGTACCTGTTCGGAGGAGCCTTTCTGTTGGGGGCATCCAACGATTTGGCGATTCTTGGAGACTCCCTTTACGATGGGAAGGAGATGGCTGATAGGGGTGATGTGATTGTTGTCACGGTAAACTACAGAGTCGGTACTCTTGGTTTCCTCAGCAGCGGAGACGCACGCCTCCCAGGTGAGACGGAAACTCAGCGTAAACAAAACACTTTGAACAAATTCGACTGTGTGCAGAAGGTGTGGGTTAAAACGGCTGGTGCCGCCCCACCCCAAGCAGCTTCTGATCCCTTCTGCCTTCCTCCACATGCAGCAGGAGCTCAGAGATGATGATTCACGCGTTTCCACCTGACAGCTGTGGTCTCAGGCAGAGTAGCACTTCATCCCAGCTGTTTCACCATTCCGGTGTCTGCTGGTGGTCCTGAAGGTTCTTAGCCCGTTCTCTCTTGGCTTGACATAAAAAAAAAAAGTCATCTAGAAAAACTAACTTCTTAGCATCAACCAGACGAAAACCTGCCAGACCAGAGCAAACCGAACCGGATCAAACCAGACCAGAACCCAAAAAAGTGATCAGAATCTGCAACCAGCACCAGTCAGGCAGCCTGAGGTGTTCCAAGGAAATGATCATGTTGTAGGCCATCTGCTAATGTTCCCATCATGCCTCCGATGAGGTGTGCGCATCTTATCAGCTGCTCCTGCAGGTGGAACAGATCCCAGAAGAGGGTCAGGTGGTTCAGGTCCAACTCTGATAACACCTGATGTTTGACTTCAAGAGACTTCAAGGAAACTTTTGAATGTTTTAGCTCCCTGTGAGCTGATGATTTAGTAACACGGGGCTCTTTACTAAAACTTTACTCAAGACTTATCAAAAAGCAAAAAAAAAAAAGTTCGTATGCAAACTAAATTTCTGACTAATCCTGGATCACATCCTACCTCTTACACATTCACATTCTGCCATTAATGCACAATACAAAGTACTTTATTAATATTATGCATTTATTAATAAGCTAGGTAAGGGGTGGGATTTCACAGTAACCATGGCAACTGAGAGGTCTTGAAATGAAAATCTTGATGGCACTGATGGAGGTGCAAGTGCAACAGAGAGTTTTGTGGTGGACGTATAAAGAAGTGGTCCGACTTGAAGGTGGAGGCAAAGAGGAAGATGGCAACAGTCGTTTTAATGGTGCGTCCAGAGCTGTAGCGTTATGGTGCTCGGGGATGGATGTGATGTTCCACATGTAAGGGAACTTTTCACTTAAGCCAAGGGGCTAAGTTAACCTGGCAAGCCATCCTATAAATGTGGATTCATAGTCTAACCATGGCCCGTAGACCGAGCTTGGTCATGGGGCGGAATCTACGGTTGTCTTTCCAACTGTCCCCGCCTGCTATTGGATGAGGATCACCATGACATACCCACCGCTACAGATGTCAGTCAACGGGGCAGCCCACCAAACACAAAAGGGCAGCAGTAGCTCAGGAGGTTGAACGAGTTGCAGTAATCGGAAGGTTGCAGGTTTGATCCTGGCTCCGGACAGAGAATTCTGCTGTTGTGTCCTTGGGCTAGACACTTAACCCACCTTACCTGCTGGCGGTGGTCGGACGGCCTGATGGCGCATTTGCTTGGCAGCCTGACCCTAGTCGGTGAGTGCTAGGACAGCTGTGGCTACAATGTAGCTCATCAGTGTGTGGATGTGTATGTGTGAATGATACACTGTAGTGTAAAGCGCTTTGGAGTCCTCTCACTCTACACAAGTGAGGGTCATTTATCGTTGATCATTATCATTCACTATCGAAGCAAATACATCCTTTTTTTAATAAAGGACTTACCCAACAAACATTGGTCCGACGGCGACGTGGTGTCCACGGTCAAAAATGGTCGCGGTAGGACGGCCCGAATTTGTAAAAAAATATAACAGAACATGTCTTAAAAATCAATTCAGATACATTTGTACATGCCTACAGTTATACGTTTAATTGTTATTTTGACAATTAGTTACGTGTAGTTCAACATAGCATCCCAGCAAACATTGGTCCGGCGGCGACGTGGTGTCCACGGTCAAAAATGGTCACGTTAGGACGGTCAAAAAAAAAAAATCAAATTTAACACAACATTTCCTAAAAATCCACCCAGATTTGTAGTTACATGTATAATTGTTACGTGTAATTCACACCCAAAACAAGACGTTGGTTCAACTTTCATTTTGGAACTATTTTTCAACCATGACGGGACTGTTCAACGTTGATTAAACATCCGAATGTTTGCTGGGTATGTACCTTTTTCAACTCTTGATTCAAAGAAAGCCCAAGTCTAAATAGTTGATGCCAAAGCCGTTTCAAATGAGCCGACGCCATCTTAGTTGCGTCCAGTCTGTAGCATCACCACTAAAATGATAGAGCGCTGTGATTGGCCCACCAAAAGGATGGAGCGCTGTGATTGGCCCACCAAAAGGATGGAGCGCTGTGATTGGCCCATCAAAAGGATGGAGCGCTGTGATTGGCCCATCAAAAGGATGGAGCGCTGTGATTGGCCCATCAAAAGGATGGAGCGTTGTGATTGGCCCACCAAAATGATGGAGCGTTGTGATCGGCCCATCAAAGGGATAGAGTGCTGTGATTGGCCCATATTAGGATGGAGCATTGTGATTGGCCCATATTAGGATGGAGCGCTGTGATTGGCCCATCAAAAGGATGGAGCGCTGTGCTTGGCCTACCAAAAGGATGGAGCGCTGTGATTGGCCCACCAAAAGTATGGAGCGTTGTGATTGGCCCATCAAAAGGATGGAGTGTTGTGATTGGCCCACCAAAAGGATGGAGCGCTGTGATTGGCCCATCAAAAGGATGGAGTGCTGTGATTGGCCCACCAAAAGTATGGAGCGCTGTGATTGGCCCATCAAAAGGATGGAGCGCTGTGATTGGCCCATCAAGAGGATGGAGCGCTGTGATTGGCCCATCAAAAGGATGGAGTGCTGTGATTGGCCCATCAAAAGGATGGAGCGCTGTGATTGGCCCATCAAGAGGATGGAGCGCTGTGATTGGCCCATCAAAAGGATGGAGTGCTGTGATTGGCCCATCAAAAGGATGGAGCGCTGTGATTGGCCCATCAAGAGGATGTAGCGCTGTGATTTGAAAGACACAAAACTGGTCTGGCCTGCTGAGGCTCCTATGGAGCGTGGCTAGACCGACATGCAGCAAAATCCTCTTGCTTCAGCCACTTCCTGTCTAGAGTTCTAGGTTAGCTTTAGGCAGGAAAGGTCATATTGTGTTCATCGTATCAAACAAATATCAGCATAGAAATTGACTTACACAGTCTCAGACCCTGCTTTGTGGGTAAGGTCAGCTTTAAAAACGAGCAACCTGGTGAGATGATAAATTAGTGACCAGGTGAACTAATGTTCCTCACAGATAAATGAAGGCAACTGGACTTCTTTGGTTTCTTGAAGATGTTTCACCTCTCATCCAAGGAGCTTTGTCAAGAATTGTCAGGAATTGGAGTTCCTTGTCAACTCTTGACGAAGCTCCTTGGATGACCATGACCTGGATGACTGAGAACCTTCTCCAGCATGTTCCTCACAGGTAACTACGGTCTGTGGGACCAGCATGCTGCCATCTCATGGGTCCGCAGGAACATCAGAAAGTTCGGAGGAAACCCAGACAACATCACAATTTTTGGCCAATCAGCTGGAGCTGCCAGCGTCAGCTTCCAGGTCAGAGGTCCCGACTCAGTTGCCTGCTGCAGACCGAGTGGTTTCCAGGTGGACTCACAGTTTGTTCCTGTCTTTGCCAGATGCTTTCCCCCTACAGCAAAGGTCTGTTCCGCAGAGCCATCACTCAGGGGGGTGTGGCGCTCAGTCCCTGGGCCCTGCAGACCAATCCCATGGCTCTCACCAAGAAGGTCCTTCATCCATCACATAACCTCCAGAAGCATCTGTCTTCCAACATCTCTAATCAGAACCCAAAAATATTTACAATCATTCACTCACCAGACACTCTTCCAGCGGCAAGAACTGAAGTAGTTCTGAAGGCGTTCTGGTCACGTTTTCTTCTAAAGAAACAAGCCTGATGATGCAAACACCAGAGTCTCAATTTTACCACGATTATTATGATCTCAGATTAACCATCAGCAGGAGATTCAACTGATCCCAGTTCAAACTCCGGTTCCTTCAGATAGCTCGGAAGGTTGGATGTTGGAGATCTGACGAAGATGAGATGTTGTCTTGCCTGAAGGTGAGCGACCCAGTTGGACTGACCATGGCGGGAAAAATTGACATCATGCTTCTTTTGGGAAAAGGTCAGCACGCGCACGCGCGCACGCACGTTACTAAAGCATAACAGGAACCTAAAGAACAGCAGCTCATGTGTTCTACCTGTCCGGCCCCAACCAGGTGTAGTCATGGACCTGTTGGAACTTGCTCCAGTGGTCGATGGGGACTTCCTCCCCGATGAGCCCATGAAGCTGTTTCCGAACGCAGCCCAGTTCGACTACCTGGCTGGCGTCAACAGCATGGACGGACACATTTTTGCTGGAGTCGATGTTCCATCCATCAACAGCGAAAAGGCCAACACCACAGAGTGAGTGTAGGAGCCAGAACCAGTGAAACCAATACAGTATGTGGACAATTTGGAGTCCCACAGGGATTGGTTCTGGGTCCACTGGGACCAAGAGCTTAATGTCAACCTGGCAAGCTAACATGTAAATATAGTCTGGCCCTCGACCCATAGACAGAGCTCATTCGTATGGGCGGATTTATGGTTGTCTTCTCTGCATGCAGTTGGACAGTGCTACAACCAATCAGAGCAACAGAACCATTCATAGACATAAATCAAAGGGGCAGTCTGACGTATACATAGTAGAAGTACCTCTATCTGCTCATGTCTGAAAGAAAAGCCCAAGTCCAAATATTCCAAAGTTGATGCCAAAGCCGTTTGAAACGAGTGCTGTTCCTTAGCTGCTGCTAATCATCGTTGATGATTTGCTCCATCGCGGCTCTGCCGTCATCGTATGAAAACAAAAAATCTCTGCTTTAGTGGTTCTAAATCCTAGTTGCTGCTTCTGCATCAGCTCCACAAGAGAGAGATTCACACGCACGGACAGAGACGTTTTGCTCTGGGACTTCTCCTGGGAGTGTTGCAAAGAAATACCCAACCAGGACAGCAGAGGGCGTAGCGCTGTTCTGGGGGTATCCTGTCATGTATCCGGTCCAAGACAGTGTGTTTATATTGTGGTTTTTGCATTTCAGAGACTTTTTAACAGGAACAAATGCGTCTTTCGTTCTCCTCCACCTCTTGAAGCGCTCACCACCTCTAAACCCATGTTTCCCGTCACTTCCATCCAGGAATAAAACGCTTGCTGCAGATCTTTTTGCTTCTCCATTCACGGGTGGATAAACGTTCATGTTGTCAGAGTTTTTCGGTGAGAAATTCTTCAAGCTGGTCCATGTCTGCTGCTAGATATCTTCGGCTCTCTTCATGTATTTGAGGACGCAATGGCGGTGCAGTTGACGAGAGCGTCGTCCTGACCAATCACATCGTTCAATGGATGTTTAGAGAAGCGGGCTTGACTCCGTCCGTCCTTGCGAGCCTGCTGGAGAGGCCTCGCAAGAGCAGATAAATGCGATGGGTGTCCCCGCATCGACGCAGAAGCATAACTAGGGCTAAGCACTCCGCTGTGATTGGCCCCGGCCTAAACTCAGCCCAGCCAATAGTAAACCTGCTGAGGCTGCAAACGGACATGACCAGGCCAACCTGCAGGTCCAGACATTTAGCTTCTGCTATGGTTTTTCTAAATTTTTAGAGTAGCGTAGGTTCCTTCTATGTTAAAGGGACTTTACGGAGTTTTGAATTTTTATGCTCGAGATTGCCCCCTCAGGCCAAAAGCGTAACGGCAGCTTCAATAGTAGGCTCGTGCACGAGGCGCGCATGCTGTACGTGCACACTCCTTAACGAAAATAACTGCTGAGACAGTCCCGTGTATGTGTGTGTGTGTGTGTGTGTGTGTGTGTGTGTGGCCCGGAGGACAGAGGACAGGAGAACGTGCAGCTAATTAATTAAATAATGTGGTTCTGTAGCTTTCTCTTCAGCACAGCCGACAAAGTTTTATGATGGGTCAGTCCTCCTGCATGCTCAGATCATTCCCTTCCCTTGCTTGAAAAATTGTTCTAAAATGAAAGTTGAACCCACATCTTTTTTATCTGTGAATTCAACGCCGTTCGGCGAGTCTCAAATAAAAATTTGGGCATCTTACTGTAAAAAATATACCATTAATGTAAAAAAGAAACTCTAAATAAACTATGTTCACATCCAGAATCAAACCCAGGTCTTCTGCAAGAGAGTCCGACGTCTTACTAGGTGAGCTAAAGCACCAGTGACATCTTTAGTATCTGTAACATTTATATCCTTGATGACAGCTGAAACAACGTTCAAAGAACGGTTCGGAGTGAAAATGGCTATTTTGTTGCTAATTTGCAGGAAATATCTAGAAGAAAGTTCTACAGAAAGTAGCTAAGGGTCCTCAGAAATGTAGCTAGCTTTGTCACTAGGCGTTAGGAACAGCGACAAAGTGGCACTGCCTCTCTCTCTGCTGCTAAAGCTACGGATAGCAAACGCTACGGGCGATGCCTGAGCGTGAACGCGCATGAAGCAGCCTGCTCGACCCGAGCATCTCTCTTTTTCTGTGATTTTACAGAAAAACAGGCAATCACAGTAAAAATGCCAGGGCTCATTCTACAGGACCAGGGCATTGCAGGAGAATGTATGAAGAAGACATTTATTATTTCTATACATGTTTTGGCTGTCACACTTCCATAATGCCCCTAAAATGAGATGTGACCATAAATAAGATGGTTTTTAATGATTCGTTTCCCTGTCTCCGTCCTTTCCATGCTGCTTCCTTCTCAGGGAACAGGTCAAAGGTCTTCTGGGTGGTTTGACTAAAGAGAAAGGGAATGCGGCCGTGGCCTCAGCCTTCAGTGTTTACTCCGTCCACTGGGGTTCGGTTCCACAACCAGACGTGGTGAAGAAGACTGTGGCAGACATCGAGACAGACTTCCTTTTCTTGGTCCCGACCCAGATCGCCCTGCAGCTCCACGCCAACAACACCAAGTGAGTAGTCCTAAGACAGGTTTCATTCCATTTCTGCATCCATGAAGGTGTCATGCTGAGAGTAGGAGGAGGTTAGGACCCAAGATGCAGAACACCAGAATGACTCGAGGCAGGAGTGGTTGAAAAAAGTAAAATCCTTTTAGGAAGGCAGCAGCACAAAAACACCGAGAGGTGCAGGATGCCAATTCTGAAAACTGAAACTCAGGAAGCCAAAACAAACCAAAGCTCAATTATGAGCACAAACACTAGTGCTCGCCCCGTAATCGGAAGGTTGCAGGTTCGAGCCCCACTCAGTCTGTCGCTGTCGTTGTGTCCTTGGGCAAGACACTTAACCCACGTTGCCTGCTGGTGGTGGTCGGAGGGACCGGTGGCGCCAGTGCTCGGCAGCCTCGCCTCCGTCAGTGCGCCCAGGGCAGCTGTGGCTACGTCGTAGCTCATCCCCACCAGTGTGTGAATGTGTGTGTGAATGGGTGATTGATTGTGTTGTAAAGCGCCTTGGGGGGTTCCAGGACTCTAGAAGGTGCTATATCAAATACAGGCCATTTACCATTTTACCATTTACTAATGAATCACGAGGGAACAAAACAACGCTGACACACGACAATGGACCGACAAACACTGACCCCGGGTTTCCACGGGAGCCGTCAGCAGCACGTTACTGCAGCAGCACGTCTTGCTCGCGTAAGCTGCTGCTTGGCCCTTCCCACGAGACGCGAATCAGCAGGGGAGCAGCTGTCACCGACAGAGCACGAAGTCACACGAGTGACTTCATCAGTAAACACAACAACAAGCAGGAGAAAACTACAACATGGCTCCAAAATGTTTGTGTTTTTATGTTCTGTCCGTTTTATAATCGCCAATACGGACCTGAAAAACAAAGGAGACCGCTAGCTAGGTGATAACTTCTCACGGGGACGCACAGTTAGTAACCTTTTTTAAAGTAAAGCGACCGGAAGGCAGTACGTTCTTTATTCTGAAAATCTCGGGAGCTTCTCTCCATTTCCGCGTCCGATTTCCTGTCTTTCCTTCCCCAAAAATGTCGAACTTGACCCGTTTCAGAGGCGTCGCGCGTAGAAAATAGAACCGGCGCGTAAGGGCCGCGACATGCTGCTCCTGAGACGCGGCCGACTCGCGCTGCTGACGGCTGCCGACGGCTCCAGTGGAAAAGGTTCTGTTGACCACAGCGGTTCCTATCAGCAGCTATGACGTGCTGCTGCAGTAACGTGCTGCTGACGGCTGCTGTGGAAAGCCGGGGTAAGAGACAAGACAGGGTTTTATACACAGAGGGAAGCAATTAGGCAAACAGGTAGCAGGTGTGTGGGGAGTGTAAGCTGAAGGGATCAGGAGAGACTAATTAACTAAATGGGGAAAGAACACATTGTGTTAAAGGAAGAAACTGACTGGATAATCTAACTATACAGAGACCTAAAGATAAGAGAACTAATAAACCTGAAACTATACACAAGAACACTAAATCTATGGGGATACTAAAATGAATGGGATGGGATAACTAAGTATAAAGTGACTAGGGGGGAAACATGAGGGAAACCAGGGGGGAGCTGGGGACTACAAGGACACAGAACATGACAGAAGGTATTCAGAGCAGGGTTCCAGTTTTCATCATTCAGAACTTTTTAGCGAATTAAAACGGTAAACGGCCTGTATTTTTATGGCACCTTCTTAGGGTTCCACAGCCCCCCAAGGCGCTTCACAACACAGTCAGTCATTCACCCATTCACACGCTGGTGGGGATGAGCTATGATGTAGCCACGGCTGCCCTGAGTCGCTCTGACAGAGGCGTGGCTGCCGAGCACTCCGACCACCACCAGCAGGCGAGGCGGTTTAAGTGTTTTTCCCAAGGACACACCAATATTCTCTGGTCGGAGCCGTAATCGAACCTGCAACCTCCTGATTACTGGACAACCTGCTCTACCTCCTGAGCTCCTGCTGTCCCTTAATTAAGATTAATTTGTTTATTTATGCTGATCGTGATTATGTAGGTGATAGTCAGCTTGTTTATGGAGGCTGCTGGATTCAGGTTGGGTTTTGGACTCTGACGCTGTCTAATGGTTTTGTCCCTAAGTGCCTGCCGTACCTACTCCTATCTGTTTAACATGAAGACCCGGATACCTGGGTTCCCTCGCTGGGTGGAGGCGGAGCATGCTGAGGACCTGCAGTACCTGTTTGGTAAACCTCTCTCCACCCCGCTGGTCTACTTCCCCAGGCACAGAGACTTGTCCCGTTACATGATCGCATACTGGACCAACTTCGCCAAGACCGGGTAAACGACAACACATCAGCGGGTCGAACTCTGTTAGACACTGAGTGGTTTTACTGGTTTCAAGACCTGGATCCCATTTCGTTCACTAGTCTGACTCGACTTCACAGGTTTAGGTTAAAATAGCCTCTTACCAGAAAAGCTTATGGATCAACCATTTTGCTGTTACTTAACTTAACTTAACTTGACTTAACCTGACTTAACTTAACTTGACTTAACTTAACCTAACTTGACTTAACCTGATTTTACTTGACTTGACTTAACTTAACCTGACTTAACTTGACTTGACTTAACTTAACCTGACTCAACTTGACTTGACTTGACTTAACTTAACCTGACTCAACTTAACTTGACTTGACTAAATGTCCTTTAATTTGAATCAGATTAGATGCTCCCGAGGAGCTCTGGTCCAAAACTGGTCTGATTAGTGGGAAACTTCTTCTCTTTCCAGTGATCCCAGCAAAGGGAACAGCAAGGTCCCGGTTCCCTGGCCCCCCTTCACCAGAAACCACCAGCCGTACCTGATAATCAACCACCAGATGAACAAGTACTCAGTCAGGTACGACTGCTGAACCAGATCTTCCTCAGCTCTTCTTTCACACAGAAACCGATTTCTCATTTCATTTAGTAGAAAAGCATCCTCGGCTGCTGTCAGAGCTCTTGCACAGGTTTTCATCCAGCAGGCCCTTAGACAGGCAGCCAAAATCACCAGCGAGTCCTCTCACATACTTCACCCCATATTTCAATGGCTCCCCTCTGGCTGGCTCCCCTCTGGCTGGCCCCCCTCTGGCCAGCTCCCCTCTGGTTGGCTCCCCTCTGGCCGGCTCCCCTCTTGCCAGCTCCCCTCTGGCTGGCTCCCCTCTGGCCGGCTCCCCTCTGGCTGGCTCCCCTCTGGTTGGCTCCCCTCTGGCCGGCTCCCCTCTGGCCGGCTCCCCTCCGGCCGGCTCCCCTCTGGCCGGCTCCCCTCTGGTTGGCTCCCCTCTGGCTGGCTCCCCTCTGGCTGGCTCCCCTCTGGTTGGCTCCCCTCTGGCCGGCTCCCCTCTGGCCGGCTCCCCTCTGGCTGGCTCCCCTCTGGTTGGCTCCCCTCTGGCCGGCTCCCCTCTGGACGGCTCCCCTCTGGCTGGCTCCCCTCTGGTTGGCTCCCCTCTGGCTGGCTCCCCTCTGGCCAGCGCCTCCGCTGCGTTTCTTTGAGCCGCTGTTGTTTCCAAAGTTCCACACCATAAACTTAAACTACTCTACATTCTTTATTATCTTTTTTTATACAGCCAAACCTTTATTCACATATACTTACTTATTCAGTCACTTCAGTTTTAAAAACGGTGTATATACTGTATATTTAGTGTTTTCCTCTTATTTTACTTTTATTTTATGCTGCTCTGTTGTTGTTATTTTAATTGCCCCTAGGGATAAAAAGTCTTTCTGGTTCTGATTCTGTTGTGCTTCGTCTCCTCAGCTATGACCTGAGATCCTATTATGTGGACTACTGGACCAGAACCTACAGCCAGATGTCTGCAGCCCATACCTCAGAGGAACCGCAGAAACTAACTCCTGGAGGCATGGAGGATGGAAACGAGTCCCTTGATTAGTAAAAAGTGAAGTTTTCCTTCATTTCAGCATGAAACTTGAAATAAAACTTTGGTTTTTTGATAAAGGAGAGATTTTTCTGTGTCTGTGGTTCTTGTAGAACCTGAGCCTGATAGTTCCACACTGTCCTAAAAGGAAATGACATCAAATCTTGGAAGAAAAAAATTAAATAACATCAATGCAAAAATGGCCTCTATTTATATGGCTTCTTCTAGGGTTCTACAACCCCCCAAGGCACTTTACAACACAGTCATTCACACACACACACACACACACACACACACACACACACACACACACACACACACACACACACACACACACGTGCAGGTGGTGATGAGCTACGGCGTAGACACAGCTGCCCTCGGCTGCTCTACACAGACGCCACCACTCTGGTACCTCCCATTTCTGTCTCCTGTCTTGTCCTCATGGACACCATCTCTAAACCAGACATCATGGCTGCTCTTACTGTCTTGTACACCTTTTATCACACCTGACACTTTTCTCCAGCCATTCCAACCTGCTTCACGCTCTTCTTCGTCCCTGTTCCACTCTCTCTGTTGCTCTGGATTGCATGCTCTATGTGCTTAAAGTCCTCTACTTTACTTTCTGTGACGTCACCTTTCCACCTGAGCTCCTCTCATTTACACACAAATTCTGTCTTACTGCAACTACTCTTCATTCCTCTTTTTTCCAGTACATCTCTCCACCTCTCTAGCTTTTTACCTCTCACTGCAGATCAGTATGTCATCTGCAAACATCATAGTCTACTTCCCAAGTCAACATTAAAACAGATAGTCGTACAAAGATGGTGTTTATTCTGCTGAAGTCCGCTAGAGGCATTACAGAACCTTAGTTAAAGAGCAAGTCACCCCCAAATCAACATGTTTTTTCTGATAAACTACATAAATGTGTGTCTAATCGTGCTGCAGACACGTGTTGTCAATAGTTTTGCACTTTAGTGCATCTTAGTCAATTTTTAATTTTCAGCCTGAAACTATCTGTTGTGCCGTTGTCAGGTAAAAACTGCACTGCAGTTGAATTTAAATCTGCCATCACTATTGGCTAAGAGGTACCCTAGAATGATAGCTGGTACCATATGATGTCACAATGTCGTTGTGAGCCTGTGTGTGTGTGTATTTGTTAGTGGCTCCGCCCTCTCGGTCTGCTAGACAACAGCATTTGTTGCATTTTTCAAACAGGAAGTGGGAGTGGAGTAATACTCTGGTAGGGGGGGTGACTTGCCCTTTAAACCCGAGTTCTGCTTGGTTTTCCCAGGATTCCCTCTGGAGAACTTGATCAACCCAAGAGTCTGGTCCGGGACCACACCAACAGAATTCTGATGATTCTGTTGGTTTCTGTGATTCCTAACCAGAACACAAAAGGTTAAAGTTCAAACACACACCATGCTTTTATGGGAAATGAAACCAGTAAAGTAAAAGTAAAAGCAACTGAAAATTCAAATGGAAACATCAGCGAGAGGTGGAGGCGCGAGGAGGAGGAGACAACTGAAGCAGGAGGTTGGTTCTGCATCACGCTGCAACAGGAAGCACATATGAAACACTCAACGTCTTTCTGATACCACAGGAGGGGGAGGCAAATAAGGAGGCACCGTTCAGCAGGAGAACATCTTTGAGCTGGATCAATTTGTAGCAACTCCCAGCTAACGAGGAGGAGAAGAACGAGGAGTAGGTGCAGAGGAGTAGGTGGAGGAACTAAAGAGGAGTTGAAGTTCAAGGAAAAGGGAGCAACAAAGAGAAGGAAGACACAGTGTGATCAAGAAGTCAAACGTGATAAAAAGGAAGAGATAAGGCAAAGAAAGTAGGCAGTTAAGAGGTGAAGGGAGTTTATAGAAGAAAGCTAAGTAAGAGGAGCAACAGGAGGAGGTGCTGCAGCGTAATGGAGGAGGACATCAGGAAGCAGGGGATGCTCTTCCTCCAGCAGCAGCGCTTTGGGAAGGTAAGAACCTTTACAATAAACTCCTACATCGTCCAGAGCTGCCGTGTTCACCAAGTGTGTGTGTGTGTGTGTGTGTGTGTGTGTGCATGCGTTTGTGTGTGTGTGTGTGTGTGTAGAAGTGGAAACGGGTTTGGTGTGTCCTGTATCGAGAAAGTTCCTGCTCCATCTCTAGACTGGAGTTCTTCGAGTATAAGGATGGAGGGAATGTGGAGAAAAATGACAAAACTCTACGCAAACTGCAGGAAAGCAAGAAGGTACTTCCAGTTCCTTCACCTTCAGGGTGTTGTTTCCATGGCAATGACACCCCTCCTTCTCCTAGGTGATCCGAATGGCGGATTGTATCCGGGTGACAGAAGTGGACATGGACGGATGTCCCAGAGACACGGGGTCCTTCTTGGTGGAGACCACAGAGAAGATCTATGTGTTTGCTGTTGACAGAAACCAGCTGGACGACTGGACACACAAGCTGTGTGAAATTGCTTTCCCTGTAGGCGCGCACACACACACACACACACACACACACACACACACACACACACACACGGGGCACGGCGTTTGTATGTATTGTTATGTTTGGAGGAAAGTGTATTAAACAGAAATATCTTTGGGACTACAGACACAGCCTTAAGGTACTCCATCTGTGGAGACCTGGTTAAAACACAGTTTAACGTTCCTCATCAGGTTTGGTCTTGTGGTTCAGCAGGAGCATTTGAGGACAGAGTAGATTCGCCAGGTTTAAAAAAGGTCAAAAAGGATTCAGATGTTTAAGACATTTAGGTGAAGCTAACGAAACATTCAAGGCTGCTTGATAGTAGCAGTTGGTAACATTGGCGTCTCATAGAGAGACGGCCTCTGATATGAACTCTGGCTGGAGCCTTTTCTGTGTGCAGTTAGCATGTTCTCCCCAAACCTGCATAGATTTAGCATGTTCTCCCCAAACCTGCATAGATTTAACATGTTCTCCCCAAACCTGCATAGATTTAGCATGTTCTCCCCAAACCTGCATAGAGTTAGCATGTTCTCCCCAAACCTGCATAGATTTAGCATGTTCTCCCCAAACCTGCATAGATTTAGCATGATCTCCCCAAACCTGCATAGATTTAGCATGTTCTCCCCAAACCTGCATAGAGTTAGCATGTTCTCCCCAAACCTGCATAGATTTAGCATGTTCTCCCCAAACCTGCATAGATTTAGCATGATCTCCCCAAACCTGCATAGAGTTAGCATGCTCTCTCCAAACCTGCATAGAGTTAGCATGTTCTCTCCACTCATGTGTGGAGTTAGCATGTTCTCTCCAAACCTGCACAGATTTAGCATGTTCTCCCCAAACCTGCATAGATTTAGCATGCTCTCTCCAAACCTGCATAGAGTTAGCATGCTCTCTCCACTCATGTGTGGAGTTAGCATGTTCTCCCTATTCATGTATGGAGTTAGCATGTTCTCCCCAAACCTGCACGGATTTAGCATGCTCTCTCCAAACCTGCATAGAGTTAGCATGTTCTCTCCACTCATGTGTGGAGTTAGCATGTTTTCCCTATTCATGTATGGAGTTAGCATGTTCTCCCCAAACCTGCATAGAGTTACCATGTTCTCCCCACTCATGTATGGAGTTAGCATGTTATCCCCAAACCTGCATAGAGTTAGCATGTTCTCCCCACTCATGTGTGGAGTTAGCATGTTCTTTCCATTAATGCATACATGGAGTTAGCATGTTCTCCCCAAACCTGCACAGATTTAGCATGTTCTCCCCAAACCTGCATAGATTTAGCATGATCTCCCCAAACCTGCATAGAGTTGGCATGCTCTCTCCAAACCTGCATAGAGTTAGCATGTTCTCTCCACTCATGTGTGGAGTTAGCATGTTCTCTCCAAACCTGCACAGATTTAGCATGTTCTCCCCAAACCTGCATAGATTTAGCATGCTCTCTCCAAACCTGCATAGAGTTAGCATGCTCTCTCCACTCATGTGTGGAGTTAGCATGTTCTCCCTATTCATGTATGGAGTTAGCATGTTCTCCCCAAACCTGCACGGATTTAGCATGCTCTCTCCAAACCTGCATAGAGTTAGCATGTTCTCTCCACTCATGTGTGGAGTTAGCATGTTTTCCCTATTCATGTATGGAGTTAGCATGTTCTCCCCAAACCTGCATAGAGTTACCATGTTCTCCCCACTCATGTATGGAGTTAGCATGTTATCCCCAAACCTGCATAGAGTTAGCATGTTCTCCCCACTCATGTGTGGAGTTAGCATGTTCTTTCCATTAATGCATACATGGAGTTAGCATGTTCTCCCCAAACCTGCACAGATTTAGCATGCTCTCTCCAACCCTGTATAGAATTAGCATGTTCTCCCCACTCATGTGTGGAGTTAGCATGTTCTCCCTATTCATGTATGGAGTTAGCATGTTCTCCCCAAACCTGCATAGAGTTAGCATGTTCTCCCCACTCATGTATGGAGTTAGCATGTTCTTCCCACTCATGTGTGGAGTTAGCATGTTCTCCCTATTCATGTATGGAGTTAGCGTGTTCTCCCCAAACCTGCATAGAGTTAGCATGTTCTCTCCACTCACGTGTGGAGTTAGCATGTTCTCCCTATTCATGTGTGGAGTTAGCATGTTCTCCCCAAACCTGCATAGACTTAGCATGTTCTCCCCACTCATGTATGGAGTTAGCATGTTCTCCCCAAACCTGCATAGAGTTAGCATGTTCTCCCCACTCATGTATGGAGTTAGCATGTTATCCCCAAACCTGCATAGAGTTAGCATGTCCTCCCCACTCATGTGTGGAGTTAGCATGTTCTTCCCATTAATGCATACATAGAGTTAGCATGTTCTCCCCAAACCTGCACAGATTTAGCATGTTCTCCCCAAACCTGCATAGAGTTAGCATGTTCTCCCCACTCATGTATGGAGTTAGCATGTTATCCCCAAACCTGCATAGAGTTAGCATGTTCTCCCCACTCGTGTGGAGTTAGCATGTTCTCCCTATTCATGTATGGAGTTAGCATGTTCTCCCCAAACCTGCATAGAGTTAGCATGTTCTCCCCACTCATGTGTGGAGTTAGCATGTTCTTCCCATTAATGCATACATGGAGTTAGCGTGTTCTCCCCATCCCTGTGTGGAGTTAGCATCATCTCCCATGCATGCAGTGAGTTAGCTTGTTCTCCCCGTGTATGCTGATGCAGGCTAACTGATTATCAGAATTGTAACAACAGAAATAATGATGTTGGGATTAAAATAAACTTAAAAGACTGGATTGCTCATATCAGATGGACTTTGTCGTTCGACACCCAAACAGTCTGATCAGGGCCGGCCCAAGTTTTTGTGGGGCCCCAGAATTTTTTTGGGCACCCCCATATCAACATGTCAACACCACTATGATATATAATTCCTAGGCAAAAATATGTGTGTAACAAACCTACATACATACATATCATTAGCATCTTTTGTAGTAAGCTTACATCATACCGACGTTATTATGGGTACTGATTTTAACTCGTTTACTGTCAATGACGACTAAATCGTCACTTGCATTTTTTTTTACTGTTTGAGCATCGGCACGAGGTCCCGCGCTGAGAGAACAAACATCTCAGCCCTGAAGCCGATCTTCATCCGCATACGTCACACGTCACATGATCAGGAAGCAGAACATCCATGTGTTAGGAGATCGTTTTGGGCCGCTGCTGTAAAAAAAGTGAGACGCGAACCAGAAAAGCGTCTGCCGATCACAATTCGACAACGGATTATGAAAGAACAGATAACGCTCGAAACACGCGGATTCTTCCTGATGTAAGAGGTGAGTTTCCTCTTTGTTTTGGTTGTTTTGGCGTCGACATCATCCTAGCGCGCAACGTTCTGTGACTCTTAGAGGAAACAGTAAAGACGGTGAGAAACGCTGGCAGCGAAGGCCGTTAGCGATCAGGAAACGGCCGACAGTGAATGAGTTAACTTTACAGGAGTAGCAAACCAACACAAATACTATAATTAATTAGCATTTTGAAATGCAGAGTGTGGTATGTTACTTCAACCATTTGAAAGTAACATCACTTAATTTACAGTGAAAGAGAGAAGTTTACCATCTTTTGTTCATAAAATTTAGAACAAATGTCTTAAATGTGCTAAACGTGCATTAACTACAAAATTAAACCAATTTACACTATAAAATAATATATTAATCATTTTTCCATATGTAGTATAATTTAGTTAATAATATATATTAAATATTTAAAGTTAGTGAAACATTTTTTCCTCATGCCATCTTGATGCACTCTGAGTGCAACTCTGAACAGGAAAGCTGGATAGACGTATTGTTTATGCCAAGGGACTTTAGTGAACAAAGGCAGTTAAGAGTGTTTCCTGTGGAGGAACTGATGCGCCAATGGACTGCTCTTCAGGTGGGGCAGCTGGTTTCCATGGAAACTGCTCCGCGGACGGCTCAGAGTGACCAGGTTCTAGGTCAGTGCCTTTCTGCACAGCAGGATGTTGACAAACAGCTGACTGTTCTGAGTCACAACTTGACTTCTTCTTTCCGAGAGCCAACAGGAAGTACGCCCAGCCAATTACATGGCTGATTTCAAGCCTTCAACCCCCCCCCCCCCCCAAAAAAAAAAAAAAACAACAACCAGATCTTCATATTGTCGGAACAAGCTAGAGCCTTTAGAACAAACTAGATACTGTGATCTGGAATGAGTTTGCAGTTTCCTGTTGTTTACTGGACCATCAGTACAACCTGCCCCGGCCTAACTGAGACACAGAACGATGATGTCCATCCATCAGAAGTTTCTCTTGTTAAAATGCCAGATAAAAGCTTCATTTCAATTCAGGTCACAAATACTTTATTAATCCCAGAGGCAAATCGAGTAGTTCCATTCAGATTCAGTTTTTAGTTTAAATTCAGTTCAATTCAATATGCAGATGATGACCAGCTGTTAGTCTCCTCAGTTCTTTGTGTGATTCTTGCGAGCAGATGAGCTGGATGGAAGCTGGAGCCAAACGAGGGACCCTGCAGCGAGGGAACAAGGTGGACGAAGACAAAGGGATGGAGGACAATTCTCTCTACAGCGGTCAGGACAGAGGTACACCTGTCTCCCTACCTGTGCACCCAGATCAAACAGCTGGTATCGATCAGTCACATGAAAACATTCAAAGGTGTCTGAAGCCACCTACAAAAGCTAGAATAGATGAAACAAAAATGATTCAAGAGCTAACGAACCCTCGACTTCCAGGGAGACTTCTCCTGCAGGTGTTCTCCCCCACGGAATTTCTTATTTATCCACGTCCAGGGATGGTTGTCTACAGTTCTTGAGAACTGACCTTTAAACAGGCATCCTGACTGAAGACCAGCCTGATGACAGCAGGGGTCTCTAACCCTGGTCCTGTCCGGCATCTTTTACTTTTTCTCTGCTCCAACAAATCTGGTTCAATGATTGAATCACCTGTTCACCGAGCTCCGTCAATCACGTGCTGGTTAAAGTCAGGTGTGCTGGAGCAGAGGAACCTGGAACAAGCTGGACGGCGGACCTGGAGAGTCAAGACCGATATTTTATACCCGTTTCATTGGTTTGATATTATTCTGTAAAGGTCAGAAGCAAAATCTGCTTTTTATGATTTGATTTTCAGTAATATTTATTATATTTCACTATTTATTTATTTATTTATTCGTGTATTGGTCATTTTCATATCTATAGGTACCAACAGTTTAGTCCATCTGTCTGTCCTTGTCTGTGAAACTGATTGGTGGGACCACTGGCAGCTGTTCACAGATCTGAGGTCAGTTTTATCAGACCTTATCAGCTGTTCTCATTTCTGGCTTTCATCAGTCTGCAGATCGTTTTCATCCTAATGACAGAAACCCTGAAACGGGACACGTCCGACAGCTGCTTTGCTGGAGGCCGATTCTTTTTATTTTTACCTCTGAAGGACAGAAGTAGTTCCTGTTGAGGGTTCTGATCGTAGAAGTTTGCACAAGGCAGAGTTTCCATTGCGGTTCAGCTGAAAACGCTGAGTGTGAGGTTACGTAGTGGAAACTTGTAAGAGTTGGTTCCTGCTGTGGTTGCAGGCCGGCGCTGGGTGGTGCAGCGCTGCAGTGACCAGCAGCTGCAGGACTACCTCAGCTTTATCTTGACAGGACAAACTTCCTGTTTCTAAACAGGAAGTGCAGAACATTTGGAATAATATGAGTTGAAGCTCCTTTCAGCCTGAAAGACACGTCCACGCTGGCAATCAGCTGTTTTTTGTGTGTCATCACTCATTTTAGCAAAAAAGTAAAACTACAGAAGTGCAAACCAGTTTAGGTCCATTGTTGGCAGAACCATCAGGTATAAACCAGCTGGTGAGATGGTGGTTCTGAGAGGAGTTCGGGTTCGGGACCACCACCAGAACCAGCTGTCTGATCAGGATTTTAGCTTCAGAACTCCATCCTCACATCCTGATTTGTCCCAAAAACCGATGGAAACAGGAAGCAGAGAATCAAACTAGCAACTGTCTGACTCAAGTGCTCCTTTCTCACAAACGTGTTAAAAGCAGGACTGATGGTGTGGCTCAGATCCTGCATGGAGGTTCTGATTGGGTTTGTACTAGGGGTGAGACTCTATAAAGAAATGAACTAATTAATTAGAGGCTTTTTAATTAATACATCTCGATTAATGTCATTTTAATCGTTTAAGAAAATTTGCCCCAAAGCAAATTATTAAGCTAATAATGCAAACACTAGACATGGACAATAATAACAGAAAATCAAGCTCTTAATAAAAAAATGCTTTTAAATTGTTTTTCAGTTCAAAACAGGGAGACATTTGTTTATATATTTGTTAAAAATAAATACACACTCACACACACACACACTGAACAAAAATATAAACGCAACACTTTTGTTTTTGCTCCCATTTTTCATGAGATGGACTTAAAGATCTAAAACTCATTCCAGACACACAATATCACCATTTCTCTCAAACATCGTTCACAAATCAGTCTAAATGTGCTTTGCTGAGATAATCCATCCCACCTCACAGGTGCGCCACATCAAGATGCTGATCTGACATCATGAGTAGTGCACAGGTGTACCTTAGACTGCCCACAATAAAAGGACACCCTGGAATGTGCAGTTTTGTCTCACAGCAAAATGGCACAGATGCCGCAAGCATTGAGGGAGCATGCAATTGGCATGCTAACAGGAGGAATGTCAACCAGATCTGTTACTCGTGCATTGAATGTTCATTTCTCCACCATAAGCCGTCTCCAAAGGCATTTCAGAGAATATGGCAGTACATCCAACCGGCCTCACAACATCAGGCAATGTGTAACCACACCAGCCCAGGACCTCCACATCCAGCAGGTTCACCTCCAAGATCGTCTGAGACCAGCCACTCAGACAGCTGCTGAAACAATTGGTTTGCATAACCAAACAATTTCTGCACAAACTGTCAGAAACCGTCTCAGGGAAGCTCATCTGCATGCTTGTCGTCCTCATCGGGGTCTTGACCTGACTCCAGCTCGTCGTCGTAACAGACTTGAGTTGGCAAATGTTCACATTTGATGGCATCTGGCACGTTGGGGAGGTGTTCTCTTTACGGATGAATCTCGGTTTGCATTGTTCAGGGCAGATGACAGACAGCGTGTGTGGCATCGTGTGGGTGAGCGCTTTGCTGATGTCAATGTTGTGGATCGAGTGGCCCATGGTGGTGGTGGGGTTATGGTATGGGCAGGCATCTGTTATGGACGAAGAACACAGGTGCATTTTATTGATGGCATTTTGAATGCACATAGATACCGTGATGAGATCCTGAGGCCCATTGTTGTGCCGTACATCCATGAACATCACCTCATGTTTCAGCAAGATAATGCACGGCCCCATGTTGCAAGGATCTGTACACAATTCTTGGAAGCTGAAAATGTCCCAGTTCTTGCATGGCCAGCATACTCACCGGACATGTTACACGTTGAGCATGTTTGGGATGTGCTTGACCGGCGTATACGACAGCATGTACCAGTTCCCACTAATATCCAACAACTTCGCACAGCCATTGAAGAGGAGTGGACCAACATTCCACAGGCCACAATTGACAATCTGATAAACTCTATGTGAAGAAGATGTGTTGCACTGCATGAGGCAAATGGAGGTCACACCAGATACTGACCGTTTCTGAGCCCCCAGACCCCCAATAAAGCAAAAAACCTGCACATTCCAGGGTGGCCTTTTATTGTGGGCAGTCTAAGGTACACCTGTGCACTACTCATGATGTTGCATCAGCATCTTGATGTGGCACACCTGTGAGATGGGATGGATTATCTCAGCAGAGCACAGGTGCTAACTATCACACATTTAGACTGATTTGTGAACAACGTTTGAAAGAAATTGTGATATTGTGTATCTGGAATGAATTTTAGATCTTTAAGTCCATCTCATGAAAAATGGGAGCAAAAACAAAAGTGTTGCGTCTATGTTTTTGTTCAGTGCATATATACTTGTATATATATATATATATATATATATATATATATATATATATATATATATATATATATATATATATATATATATATGTATATGTATATATCTATATCTATATGTATATATATATATATATATATATATATATATATATATATATATATATATATATATATATATATATATATATAAAGAATGAGTCGTTTACATTTTACTTATGAACCATAAAATGTGACATTCCATAGAAATATGAAATATCATTCTGATGGATCTTTGAATATTTTAACCAGAAGATCAGAACTTTTTATTGCAGGGATTAAGCGACACTTCGTATTAACGCCGAGGAAAGAGAGAGAGAGGTTTATAAATAGTTAAGAAATTTATTTCTACACAATTTAAACAAGACTAACTTTAACACTCTGTGTACTGATGGACTAAGGTGGAGTGAGATGTGATGTGATGATGGTGTGTGGAGTGTTATTCAGAACCAGCGGATCTGGAGAAGCAGTTAGTTCTGAGTGGGAGTGAATGTTTCGCTCTAAACTTTAGTCGGAGATTTATAACACACATGAAACGCCATCTGTCAGTCTACGTACCCCAGGGGAAGCCTCCGTTAGATCCAGAATGTCGAGGTCCTCTTGGACCCTCTTTGGAACCGAAGCCGGTAGAAAAGCAGCGGCGCCAACCAGACTAGTCTTGGAATGCTTCCAGGTCACGACAGGTTATCACTGGCGTCTCCGAGACCCTGAAGGGGTCGTGAAGTTCAGCTTTTATTCTGAAGGAACCGTTGCGGTCAGGTGTAACTTGCAACAGATTTTATCCAGCTTGTCGAGGTTCTTTATGGCTGAAGAGGAAGTCCGGATGGCCGGTCCGAGACTTCTCTAGAACGCTTGAACTAAAGAAAAGGTGGCGTGGGATAGTTTTTATAATTGTCATATTTTGGTTTACTGGCAAATCAGAACTTGACATGAAAAAGAGGGTTCATACAAACACCACAGAAAACCACGCCTAGCCAGAAACGAAGGTTCTGATTGGGTCAGACAAAAGGAAATGTGTCATGTGACTTTAGCATTACGTGTCTTTAGTGCCTAGTGCAAATGTCCAGGATTATAATAACTTGTAAAATACTACTGATCACAGGATTATAATATCAAGTAATAACATTGTCATTTCACAGATTGATTGAACATTGGGCTCACATTATTATTGGTAATAACAAAGTTATTGATTATGTGTTTATCACAAGAGTTCTTCGTCTTCGCTGTAACAGCGGTGAAGCAGTTCAGGTGAGCAGAGTGCATGAAAGACCTTGGCCACTATCTCATGTAGATCAGGCTGTCAGAGACTTTATGTCTCCGCTCGAGCAGACGCAGCAGATCATGACCTTTAGGTCAAAAACAGGACATTCAGGACGCTACTATATATATATATATATATATATATATATATCCTACTGCTTTGAATTGGAAAAACAATTTAAAATCATTTTTTGTGGAGTTTCATTCTTCCAAGCTCTGGTCCTCTACCAGAGGCCTGAGAGCCTGAGGGCTCAGCAGTATCTTAGCTGTTCCTAGATCTGCACTTTTCTGGACTGAGATGTCTGATGTATTTTCTGGGATCTGCTTT